CAGAAGATAGATAACAACCGCATGTACATTAATTATTAGAGCAACCTGATTAATAAAATCAGCTCCTAACTAACGATACGCTACAAGTAAACATAAGATTTGAACTTTTATCATGTTGATATTAACTGTACATTGTAGTCTATTAAATTTAAATGCATTGGCTGCGGTTGTATTAACAAACATATTAGCGAAACAAAGTAACCACAATTAAATGATATCATATTCGACATTCAAGTATAATCTTTCATAAGCATCAACTTAATTGTTATGTCACTGGTTTACTGTATGGAAATTGTTTGGTCTTTGGGCCCCGGATCAGTTGGTTTGAGTGCTATATTTTCCTTGAATACTTAGGTTGTTCAGATGTGTGTTGAGGAACATCAGTCATTGATAAAATAGAGAAAAAAAGAATCCCTAAAGAAAGTCCAAAACGGCAAAATTGAAAATGTTGCAGGTTCCGTTTGATAAAGCCCAAATTAACACTGTCCCGGTAATGGCCACGGCATCGCTACGTTGTCTTAAGCTGGTGAACCGAGGTGTTCCGTGGTGTTTTTCTGAGAAATCAAATTGCATTTACACATCCCCGACAGAGCCCAGGTGTATTCCCGGTTCAGAACCCGATATAGCACCGGGTATAGACGATAAGTGCCGATGCTAAATCGGTGTATTCCCGCTTGATTCCGGTGGAAACCCGACTAGACAATCCATCCCGACCATCGCCGTTTTTGCCACGGTAATGCTATTGGTGATGCCGTCACTGTGCCGGTGACGCCCTGGTAATGCAAGTTCAAGTTTATGAGAATAAAACTGACTGACCACGTTGACATCATTTGGTAAAAAGACAGCAGAGATGCCATCCGAAGGAAAGGGGATGGAAGTTAGAAAAAAAACTGTGTCTACAACACCTTCAGAGGTTGAGGTACCTGAAGCTGAAAATGCACCAGCTGAAGAATTTTTCCTTCTCTCATTTAACAAATTGACCATGCTCGTGTTCCTTCTCTAAACAAAATGATCCAAAGTAGCACTTCCAGTTTATATATTCCTGTTCTTTAAATTTCCTGTATCGGCATGAGGTCGTTACACCACCGTCTATCGTCGTTGTATAACCGTACATGTCTGCAATATCCGGGACATTACCGGCTCCAACTGGAGCGTTGTTGCCAGTGACCTCAATGTACCCTGGCTCTACCGTAGCTCTGCCTGTTTTACCGTTGCAACATCGTGTCATCACCGGGACTTTGCCGTTTGGACATTGATTGACACGCATCCCGGTTTACTACGATTTGTCACGGTATGGATGTAGTATAGATACGGTGGTTTCCCGGCAATTCCCTGTTCCAAGCCGATAGAACACGGATTTGGGCTTCCTCTCGGTGAGTGCCGGTGAGCCCCGGTTGTATTAAACATTTGAAGACAACCGTGGTGATCTCTCAGTTTGTTCCGGTTCACCATGGTTTGTCCCTTTACTTCACGGAATTTCAACGACCCAACGCCGGTTTCACCGTAGGGAACGTGTTACAGTATCGCGTTTTCCGGTTACAGTATAGAAATTTAAAGATGGAGGATTATTTGTTGGGAGGACAGGTAGGTGATTTTTATTCCGGTCCATACTACAAGTAGTTTAGTTTCTAAAAGATGTTTTTGTGCTCTGCTTGTAAGAAACAGAATCCGGTATCTAGTCATATATTTCTTCAGATCCTGCACCGCAGATTTATCGCTATATTGTCTCATAAATATGCAGATTTGACAGTTTGGAAATTTGAATCGAGAGACCAACGCATTTTTCTGCATTTTCGACATTATTTATGCATGCTTAGAAAAAGTAAATCTGCAAAACGTTAGTCCTTTATGTTAGGAAACGTTTATAAAAGTAAATGACCAGTTGAACCTATTTTCCTGTTCGTTAAATGCGTTTGAAAAAATAAACAATGTTACAGTATAGAGCGAGGTAATTTGTGCCGGGTTACAGCATAGACCAAGCGATTTTTATCCGATTTTGTTACAGTTTATACCCAGATTTCGGTTACAGTTTAGACTTCGATATTTTCTATATATACTAGGTAAAATGTATGAATGTTACATAGACTTTTAAATCTCTGTGAGCTTATTGGCCTGATGGCTATTCGTCCGTCTGTCGTACACATGTACATAGTGTGTGCAATCTCATCCGTTCAGTAACTACTTGACTAAATGTGATGAAATTTACATGACTTTCTACCAATTAAGTTGTTCAAATGGTTTCGGTTGCAATCGGGGATACGAAAACCCAAAACATAGATTTTGAAAAAAAGGCAATGTTTAAAGACCCTTCTCATCTCGAACCAAAAGCATTCAAATCAAATCATGATCATGGCGTCATTTCGAATGCTTCTTTGTTGCGATTATTTTGTCATTATTAAATTAAAAGTCGTTTTATTTTATTTCAGACATCCTGTATAGCAGTTTTCATGTTTCTGAAAAAGAAAATAAAATATTGAAAGTTATAGAGTATAAATTAAGGTCAGACAATTACAATATCTTCTCTAGTGAGCCTGATGGAGGTACATTATAGTGGCAGAGTCGGGATAAGGCCGTCGACTTCAAATCATCTTCTTTCATTTACTGCTGTAGTTGAAATCCAATCATGACTGGATTCTTTGTATGTGAGGAATCTATCAAGCTAATTTACGGAAGGTCGGTGGTTCTAGTCAGGTGCCCGCTCGTGTCTGAAATGTTTCACAAAGGGTATCTGGGGTCTTTCTTTACACGAAAGCAGGAATGTTTTCACATGACCTCAGTGTCGTTGAAACTTAAAATCCAAGAAAGCCAAACGTAACAAAATAGAGTTAAACAGAATCCCTTAAGAAATTCCAACACAACCAAATTGAAAATGTTCATAAACCCTTTTAAATACTTACAAAATACATTATAATAGATGGAAATTCCAACTTAAAATAAAAATTTAAGGTTGCAGTATTGCTCACTTAAATACTGTTTAATCATTCTTAGGGTATTGCCTGCTTGTTAATTGTGTCTTTTGACAGCTTATCTATGGTATGCAGGCTTCATAACCTCCGATCCCTTCTCAAAATTTCATTTTGTTTAGTTTCACTCATTGTATTCTCGTTTAGGGCACACGCAATTTTTAACCTGGGGGTAATATGCCGCTTTTCATAGAATGGCAATAACGTGTCACATTGAAGGTTCCGTGATAACCGCCATATGAACATATCAAATCAGAAGTGTACCAGTTCATGTTTAATGTGAATTCTGCTGAAGCCGGTGCTAGGAGGCGTGAACGGTAGCTTACAGTTACACTACCGTCCATGAACAGGTTTAATCAAACTGAACCTGCAACATTTTCATGTTTTCCGTGTTGGACTTCTGTTAAGGATTCTTTTTTCTCTATTTTATTACTAATAGGCATTATTATAATGTGTAATGAAATCAAGCACAATCATCCTTCTCTCAATACAATTCGATAAAAGTTACTGTTGTTGTCGTGAAAACAGTCCTTACTTAGGACATTACTTATTCTACAAAAAGTCTCAATCTGAAACTTAAAGTAAGAAAAATAGCAAACTATAACTTTTCTGCTGAAGAAAAAAAGTAATACAACCTTTCAAGAATGTATTAAATAGAAAGGTATGAGTTATTTCATAAAAATAATGGGTTTGAAATTTGGCAAGTATCTAAACTGTAACAGAAATCTGGGTATAAACTGTAACAAAATTGGATCAAAGTCGCTATACCCAGCAAACACATGACGTTAAAATAACGTCGGATTAATGTTAGATTTTGGTCACGACGTCGGCGACCAAAATACGACGTAAATCTGACGTTAAAATACTGATGTCTAATAGACGTTTCTTTTTGACGTCGTACTAACGTCAGGTTATGGTCGGTGTCCTGACGGTAGGTAAAAAAATAACAAAAAATAATCCTTATTCGCTGTTGTAATCATTTAAACTTTTTTTCAAATGTTATTTGGATTAAATATGAAGTGTTCTTATATGAATACAGACCAAGATCGCGGCGCTGCAACCTAATAAAACATAAAGGTGGCGCTGTATATACGCAAGTTACATGTGTTATTGTTATAAAATCTATTTATAGCTGCAGATCTGTTTACAAGTTCCAATCATTTAACGTTGTAATATTATCATTTGTGGTATATTATGTGTATCAAAATGACGAGTTTTAATAGTGCTTTAACATTTAATCATAGTGACAGAAAAGGGAAAGAAAACATAATTAACCTTTAATTCGAATCTAAAGTCACGTGGATGGAAATTCAAATTCGTAGGCGTTACGTTTTGGCTGTCGGTCAGGAATCGGGATGCATTGATAAGTGAATATTATAGGTTTTCTTGAACAAAAAGGTCAGTTCAATTTATTTAGATTGATTTCTACTTTGTATTTGATAAATAATTGCATGATTGCAAGCACTCTTAAATTTGATTATCATTATTTGAACAGCTGAAGTAAAATGTCACACAAATTCGCGATAATGTCTAATAATAAATTTTTTTAAAATTGACATGTTTTAACTCTGCTTGTGAAGAGTTTATAATATGCCTTTCAGTACTACCAAAGAGAATGCTTAGTTTTCATATTTTTCTTAAACTGTGATGTTTTTGTCAGTTAAAATCTGAGAATTGAGAATGAATTTGTACGATTTCGAGCATTTCGGACCAAGACGTTTCGGTCCCAAATAACCAAAAACGTTCCGGTCCCAAATAACGCAAGACGTTTTGGTTCCAGACATTTCGGCATTAAATCTTTAATTTAAAACTATGAAATATTTTAGACTTGCGTAACTGTACTATTTCAAACGTAGAATATATACATAAGTTAGAATATAATTTTCTTTTCAGGTAGTTAAAGAGTTGGACATGCTCTCAAAGGTCGGAGGGACGGAAACACGTGAATGTGTAAAAAGAAACATATGAAAGTAAGATTTTTGTAAATTCTATTACATACTTTAATCCATACTAAACTGGAGTTTAAAAGCGGCTTTTTAAATGTTCAGTATTTATGTTTACTTTTAATTTTTGTTAAAGCTCTCTTATAAAAAGTTGGCAAAATTGTTCATTAAGTTAAGATAACCATGAAAACATTTTTGCTTGTTATTTTTACATGTTTTATAAATTTGTTTTTTTTTTTTCAGTGAAAATGATGTCACACACGCTATTGGGCGCTACAAACGCTACATATCCTCCGGACAGACGAGGGGTGCTGAAAGAAGGTCATATCTTAAAGCATCACACCTCAAAATTGTTGCTCATTCTCATGGATATCTAAAAGTATAACTTTGTGAAGTAACTAAAAGGCAGCAATTTATACATTACTGACAATTATCAAAGGAGGTCAAAATATGCAAAATGGCACTAAATGTTTTAGAAATGCTGTAGAAATATAGTTAAAGTACTGAAAAATCTGTCATTAATTGCTTGAAACATTATTATCAGAATCTTTTAACTTTAATTAAAATTATAATATTTTCATTGTTTTATTTGATAAGGCAAACTTTGATAGAAATGTGCATACATTGTTTTGTTCTTTAATATTTGTACATGTTTTCTTAGTTTCATATATGTCATTGTTTTTGTAATACTTTTTGTTTTGTAATTAACATTTTTTATGTTTTATTTTGTTTAATTTATGAAAATTATTTAACCTTGCAGAATTTACTAAAATTGTATGTATCAGCTTAAAATTGCAACTTTTATCTGAAATTTAAAAAGCACGAAACATATTTTTGCTTTTAGTTTTCTGTTATACATTTCATTTGAGGGAAAGTTTCTTAATAGAATGAGTTACATTAAATAAGATCAAATCAGGATTAGCCAGAAAATATTTATGACGTGGTGAAACAAAAAGGATTAGGGGAATGATAAGATGAAGGCCAGAAAATGATCAGATTTAGGGCAGAAAAGGGTTAATATTTAGGTCGGAAAATGGTCAGATTGAGGTCGGAAAATGGCTAGAAACTGGTTAGATTTAGGTCGGAAAATGGTCAGATTGAGGTCGGAAAATGGTCAGATTGAGGTCGGAAAATGGTTAGATAATGGTCAGATTTTGGTCAGAAAAAGGTTAAATAATGGTTAGATTCTGACGTCTACCTGACGTCAGATTATTACGTCAAAAAAACTTTCAAATCCAACCGTTTTCCCGACCGTCATCCGACGTCAGAACCTGACTTAAATCTGACGTCAGTATGACGACTTGTGTTTGCTGGGATAGATCTATGCTGTAACCCTTCACAAATTACCTCGCTCTATACTGTAACATTGTTTATTTTTTCAAACGTATTTTACCAACAGGAAAATAGGTTCAACTGGTCATTTACTTTTATAAACGTTTCTAAACATAAAGGACTAACGTTTTGTAGATTTACTTTCTCTAGGCATGCTTAAATAATGTCGGAATGGGAGAAAAATGCGTTGGTCTCTCGATTCAAATTTTTGAACTGTCAAATCTGCATATTTATGAGACAAAATAGAGATAAATTTGCGGTGCAGGGTCTGAAGAAATATATGACTAGATACCGGATTCTGTTCCTTACAAGCAAAGCACAAAAACATCTTTTAGAAACTAAACTACTAGTAGTATGGACCGGAATAAAAATCACCTACCTCTCTTCCCATAAATAATCCTCCATCTTGAAAATTCTATACTGTAACCGAAAAACGCGATACTGTAACACGTTCCCTACGGTGTAATAAGGAACCATACATAAAGTTTGATGAAATTTAGTGGTACATCATGTAAATAGTTGCTTTAAATACACCTAAGACTGAGGTAAATGGTAAAACTCTGTAGCCAATAAAAATGTAACTGCCTTGAAAAAAATTATCACAATTTTAAACAGGTGACTATTTTGATATAGTCAAAGTCGTACAATTTTCATTGTTCCATTTAAAACAAACAGTTTCTTATTGTTTTTCTGATAACATCTGATAATCAAGTATAGTATTTCTGCAGCAGGAGTTGAAGTAAATACAACATGTGACTTTATGCAATTTAGTCAGACATAACATTAGCGTCACTGACTGTGTTCAAATTTAGGTTGTGATTGAAACATGGTTGTTTCGGGATATGTTTATCACAAAAGATAAAAAATAGGAATTTAAGTGAAAAAATAGGGCATTTTTAGGAATTCCCTTAGAATTTTTCATATTTTTTTTTTTGGATTTTTAGCCAAACTGAAAATTAAGGATTTTTTTAAGAATTTTAGGGACGCTGGACAGCCTGTATTAATATACTAGATACATGTTTGTGCTATATACAGTCATGTCATTCGTTTGTCCCCGTGAGCTATTTGTTCTGATAGAATACTGAAAGTGAAACTTATCAAACTTATTTCATTATTTATATATCTTGTAAATGTCAGCCAACAGCGAGTTGTTTGTTACCTGAAGTTCAAGTCTGTACATCAAATAGCATTGTAACACCGCACTTTGGGGTTAAACGCACTTTGGGGTCCGACCCCAAAGTGCGTTACGTACTTTGGGGTCCAACCCCATAGTGCGTTACGCACTTTGGGTCCAATTTCGACCCCAAAGTGCGTTAAACAGGTACATATACATTTTTTAACATCAGGCAAACGACCGCACTTTGGGGTCATCGAAAATTTATGTTCATTATGTTTTAAATAATATATTGTAGTCAAAGCCAATGGTAAACAAAAAATCAAAGCACTGAAAGTACTGTTGGAAGGAAATTTTCATAGAAATTCCCAATGCGTGTGAATTAAAAACAAAGGAATATGTGCAAGCTTCAATCTACAGCTAGCTGATTTGATGACGTAAAATGTGACGTCATTGTTTCCGTTTTTGCACTACTCATGTTCAGTGGGCTGATAACTAGTTCTTGGCCCAGGGCCCCAAACCCATAAGTTGTAACACTCATAATCAGTTGAAATCATAGGCAATTCTGTTACTAATATAGTAATAAGTGAATTAATAGATAATACCACTGCATTATGAACACAAAGAACCACTCAGTTTGACCTAAATCGGCCATGACTTATATAACTACTTCATAGGAATTCAAGACCATGCCATAAGCATTATTTAATCATAGTTAATGAAGAGACTTTTTATTTTAAACTCCAGGACAAGAAAAGCTCATCATGTGCTTACATTTGTAAGTTCAAACATAACTAATTGTGTTTTAGTATGAAATTGATGTACATGCTGTTAAAGTCATAGCAAAACAAAGAACAATGATTTAAAATAAACTTTTATTGTCAAAACTTGCATAAAAGTAAAAATATATGTAATATAAAAAATAAATGATTAAATATATGGAGATAATGAAATTTAGTTTGTCAGATAAAATGTGTAAAAGGAACTCCACTGAGGTTTTTTGACATGATGAGACTGAAATTTATTTTTCTAGATTAATGTACCACTAGATGTATGTTTTGACCACTAATCTTTGAGAAAAATTTCAGATCATTTGCACACTTCGTTTTTCAAGAATAATTATTCAAATTGTAAAAAAATGACCCAAAATGAAAGTGTTTAAACACATATCACGCAGATCAGGCTGAGAAAAGCATAAAAAAATGATTTTCAATTTATTTCAAAGTATATTTCTTCACTATCTGTGCATATATTTCTGTATCAAGTGCCCCGGCTCATTTCTGTAGAAATTCAAATGTTATGTTTTAGGCTTTTAAACCTCAATGGAGTGAGTCCCTTTAAATTATTGGTACATATTGAGGTGATACAAGTTATAACAATCTGAATGAAAGAAGCTTTAATGCAAACGGCCAGTAATATAGGAGGTGCTGTTTTAAGGATTTTTTACATACAAGACTGACATTATACAACAAAATATAGTCAAAAGTAGAAATGTGCCCATAGGACTTGAATGCCTGCGTTAAGAACAATGCTTATATTGAGTGGGTAATCAAAATATGTACATAATTAGACAAGCCCACTGGCAGCATATATCAAGCCTGTTGCCATTATTCAGAACTGAACCTTAAAGCTTCAGATTGGGGAGAAAGATGTATACATAAGTGAACATTTGTGATAAATGTTATGAAAATCCAGCCATGTATATAGAAATATACTCTCATGTTTTAAGTTATTATTTGACTTTTGATCCAAAGTAGTGACCTTGATCTTTGCAACAGACACCTGATTTTTCATACTACACTCCAACTCACTAAAGACTGTTAAATTTTGCCAGAGTTATATGAAAAATCTTTATAGATTTCAAAAGCATTCAAATATTATCAGTTATAAATCAATTTTTTGCATATGATTTGGTAAGGAAGGCACAATGTTGTATAAATTTTGTGGAATGTAACTGAAATCATACTTGACTTGTGTTTTGATATATTGTTGAATATACCAGTTATAAATTGAATCCTTAAAAGGTGTACAAATCTTATTGGTTGTAAACTAAAATTTCAGTGGAAATTTCACATACTGACCGGACTGACAGACAGGGTAACACTTAATGCCCTGTCACCATTCTTTAAATGGCATGGGCATATAAACATAGAACAGGTTAGCTTACAAGAGCATTTCTGTTTTCATATTTTACTAGGTAAAGTACAAAGAAATGATATTGTTATAATTTTATGAGCCATCACATCAAACCGTGATCAATGTAATATGAAGTATGGGAAAATAAGTAACAAGAAGTGCATGTTTAACTAAAACAGAATGTATGATTCAGAGGAACACTGTAAAAATAAAGTAAATAATGTTAAAAAAAAACAACAACAAAAAAAAACATAAAAAAAGTTGACCATCATTTGGACTTTCATGAGTTGGCCATGCTAATCTTAGAATAAGAACATAAATAAAATACAACATTATACAAAAGGTAGTACAAAAAATACAATGATCAAAAGTTTGAAAGTGAACACTTGTTGGTAAAATAAACAAGAATTTGTAACGGAGATACCAACGTCCCCCGCCTCAGGGAAGTTTTATATGAAGCAAAAAATTGTGCTATTTCAAAAGATTGAGGCAGGGATCTAAGGATTTTCAGTCCAAAATTATGATCAATGCTAGATCTGCAAATGCAACAATAAATTTATTAAAGAAATAAAATGAAATACTGAATTTCAAAATATATCATGTTAAGCTTTGCAGGGATTTTTGGCTTATTTTATAGCCGTTATTGGGACATATTCCCAATTGAAAATAGTATATTATTTTCCCAATCCAAAGGAAAATATTCCCAATTGAAAGTTACAAAAATATAAATATTGAATAAAGAATTCTAAAATCTTTGAAAATAAGGGCTTCTTTACTGTAATAGTGTTTAAATGATTGAAGAAGCCATCCAAGGCAGCGATTGCTTGCATACATTTAATCACTGCAAACTTTCAGTCATGCATTTTTTCCCAATTTTAACAAAATATCGCTGAAATTCCCAGTTGCATGGGTATGGGTTATGTTCCCAAAATCCTGGAAAAAATCCCTGCTTTGACCTCTAAGTGTGACCTTGACCTTGGAGGTAGGGGTGCAGGTGTTGTGCATGACATATCATCTTATCATTGTGACTATTTGTGCCAAGTATTTTCCAAATCCCTTCATCTATGAAGAAGTTATGGACGGGGCATAAAATATACCATATAACAGACTTTGTTACCTTTATACCTCTAAGTGTGACCTTGACCTTGGAGGCAGGGGTGCAGGTGTTGTAATTGACATATCGTCTTATTATTGTGACTATTTGTGCCAAGTTATTTCAAAATCCCTTGAACTATGAAGAAGTTCTACATTGGACACAATATATACCCTTTAAAAGACTATGTTAATTTTTTACCTTGAAATGTGACCCTGACCTTGAAGGTAGGGATGCAGGTGTTGCGCATGACACATTGTCTTATTATAGTGAATATTTGTGCCAAGTGTTTTCTAAATCCTTTGATATACAAAAAAGTTATGGACCGGACAAAAAAAAAACCCTATAACAGGCTATGTTAATCTTAGACCTCCAAGTGTGACCTTGACCTTGTAGGTTGGTGACCGATTGTTGCGCATGACACATCATCTCATTGTTGTGAACAATTGTGGCAAGTATTTACAAAATCCCTTCAAAGATAAGAAAGGTATAGACTGGACACGAGATATATCCTCAAATGGACAATGTTGACCTTGAATGAGCAAGTGTGACCTTGACCCTGAAGGTAGGGGTTTGGTTGTTGCACATCATTGTCTTATTATAACAAACATTTGTGCCTAGTTATTTCAAATTCCTTCAAGAAATGACAAAGTTATGGACCGGACACGAAATATACCCTGTAACAGGCTATGCTAATATTTGACCTCCAAGTGTGACCTTGACCTAGGAGGCAGGTGACCTGTTGTTGAGCATGACACATCTTCTCATTATTGTGAGCAATTGTTGCAAGTATTTACAAAATCCCTTTAGAGATAGGAAAGTTATAGACCGGACACGAGATATACTCTCAAATAGACAAGTTGACCTTGAATGAGCAAGTGCGACCTTGACCCTGGAGGTAGGGGTCTGGTTGTTGACATGACTCATTGTCTTATTATAACAATCATTTGTGCCAAGTTATTTCAAATTCCTTCAATAAAAGCTTGAAGTTGATAAAGATTTGTTCATACATATTTCAACAAGAGGGCCATGTGTATATAGGCCCCTGGAGCGGGGCCAGTTTAAACCCCAGGGCTTTTATTTGACCAAACTTGTAAGACACCTGTTAGAAGATGTTTCATGATGTTAAGTTTTTACTACACACATATAATGTTAAACAAAGACCTGTTGCACCACCCCCCACCCCGGCATGGCCAATTTTTATACAAGGGCTTAAATTTGAACAAACTTGGTCGACACCATAAGATGTTTCATGCTAAAACATCTAGGCTCTAGCTCATTGGGTTTTTTTAAAAGAAGATTTTCTAAGTTTTTACTCTACACAAATAGTTTTCAAAACAATGAAACCCCTGGGGCGGGCCAGTTTTGACCCCAGGGCTTTTATTTGAACAAACCTTGTACAAACTTACCAGAAGATGTTTCATGCTTAATATCTAAACTCTAGCTATTTGGGTTTTTTCAAAAAGAAGGTTTTAAAGTTTTTGCTATACACATATAAGGAAAATCAATGACCCCCGGGAGGGGCCAATTTTGACCCCAGGGCTTTTATTTGAACAAACTTTGTAGACACTTACCACAGAAGATGTTTCATGCTTAATATCTAAACTCTAGCTATTTTGGTTCTTTAAAAGAAGATTTTTAAGTTTTTACTATATGCATATAGGGAAATTCAATGACCCCATTCGGCCGGGGTCAATTTTGACCCCCAGGGCTTTTATTTGAACAAACTTGGTAGACACTCACTAGAAGATGTTTCATACCTTTAAAAGAAGATACTTTGTCTAAGCTCTAGCTCTTTGGGTTCTTTAAAAGAAGATACTTTAAGTTTTTTTCTTTTGGTTGCCATGGCAACCAGCGTTCTATGAACAATATTTAGAGGTGACCACCAAAGAAGTTTGGATGAAATTGGCTTAGTGGTTTATGAGGAGATGTCATTTAAGTAAAAGTTTACGGACGGAAGCCAAGACGAAAAGCGATCAAAAAAGCTCACCCTGTCACTTTGTGACAGGTGAGCTAACAAGAGCTGTCAGAAGGACAGCGCGCTCGACTTTTTTAGTGCTTGCCTATAAAACAAAAACTTTGACAGTTAAGGGCACACAAGACTTTAACTAGGAATTTCTAAGTACAAATCAAGAAACATTTTCACAGAGTTATCTTCTCTTGCTTACAGATAGGTCTCATGATGGCACATGTTATAACAGAACTCCAACTTCCAAAAGTAATATCTCAAATGGTTAAGTCAACAAGTGGACTTGAAAATCAACTGAGTTTCTAAGTCAAAAAGGGCCATAATTCAAATAAAATCCTTAACAGAATTACCTTCTCCTGCCCATGTTTTGGGGACATGATGGTTAACAAGTATTCCAACTTTCAAATTAATATCTCAAACAGTTCAGTCAAAAAGTGGACTGGTACTAAAAACTTAACCAAGATTCTAAGTCATAAAAGGCCTTAATTTTTAAAACAAATCCTTGACAGAGTTACCTTCTCTTGCGTACAGATGGGGGTAATGATGTGAAATAGCATTAAAAGTTTCAAAGCAATATCTCAAAGGGTTAAGGGCAATAAGTGGATTTTACCCATATTCAATGTATTTTCTAAGTGAAAAAGGGGCATAATTCTGTCAAAAACCTTGACAGAGTTATGTCCTCTTGTCTGTTGATGAAGGTCGTGATGGTAAACAAGTATGGTCAGTTTCAAAGCAATACCTCCAATGGTTTTGAAATAAAGTGAGGTGGTACAAAAAACTTAACCAAGCTCAATACACTTTCTAAGTCTAAAAAGGGCCATAATTCTGTCAAAAACCTTGACAGAGTTATGTACTCTTGTCTGTAGATGGAGGTTATGATGGTGAACAAGTATGGTAAGTTTCAAAGCCATACTTGTAATACTTCTGAAATAAAGTGGGGTGGTACGAAAAACTTAACCAAGGTGTGACGCCAACGCTAACGCTAACGCCGACGCCGACGCCGGGGCGAGTAGGATAGCTCCCCTTTTCATAGAAAAGTCGAGCTAAAAATAGTAAAGTGATCTTATTTTCCTGGTGAATAACTGGTGGCTCAATAAAGTTCTATACATATTATGATATTTCAAATATTGGAAAGTTATCTCTAGTTCTTGGTGAAAGACTGGTGACTAGTTTTCTCCTCAATGTCATTTCTTTTTCTAATTAGATTAAGTCATGGTACTATATTCATGAGGCTTTCGACATCACATCTAAGAACTCATTATCCAACATTGCAAAGGGCAGGCAAGTCTCCTGGTATTCCAATTTCTTTTAAGTTTTATAAAACACAAATATTTCTATTTCTTTAGTGTTTCCGACATGAAGACACATCTACATGTATCTTTCCTTATCACTCCTGCTTTTACTGTTCTATCATATAAGCGCCTCTGTTTCCTGAAATATTTGTTTAGAAAAAGTTAATTGCAAAGTTAAAAGTCCACTTGTAAACCCTTGCCGAGCTCGAACTTACAGCAGTGAAAGGCTTAAAGGTTTAAAGTCAAGAAACTAAACCAATCAGTCACAGACACCCCAAGTATTTTTCTATTTGCTAAGCAGCAATTTTTTCAAAATTATTTAAATTCATAAATGTGAGTGATTCTGATAAGCTATAGACAGCTAAGTGATGATAAAATGATCATATATGTCAGATATGTCGGAGTGCTAACACTGCTTACTGTGAATATTCAATATTTTAATGTGAATTGTCCTGAGGTAAAAAGGAAAAGAAAGCTGAATTCCTAAATACATGTTACATGTCACAATTGTTCTTGCTATTAATTTTGTTCCTAATCTCTTGTATAAAATATTTAAATACACTGTAATTCTTTTTTATAAATTTGGCTTTTTGTGACAATAGTCTATCCAGTGACCGAAGCTCACTGACTTAAAATAAACTTTCCTGTGTCAGCCTTTAAACAAGTCAAGAAAAAAAAGCTATTTGAATATAATAATTAAGAAATATCATATACAAATACTTCTAAATAATCATGTACCTCTTCCTTAAAAGCCCATGCTATTGAAAGAAACATTTTTTCCATTTGTTCACTTCAAGGTTAGTCAGATTGACAGTCTCACATTTTAGCCTTGATCTCTCGTGATTTCATTGTCATTGACCCTAAAGCATCCTTAAAATCGATATCCTGCTGTTCACATTCATAAATCTGACATGTAGGCCGAACTTCTGAAACATAAAATATAATTATTATTAGATATACATATAGTATCCCAATAATTATGTTAGTTGATATCAAATCAATAATTTAAGCAGTGTTCGAAATTAGCAGTAGTCCGAGAGCCCGTTTACTAAATTTCTCCTCGGGCTATCAACTTTTCACAGTAACAAGCCCGACCAGGCTACTGTATTATCAGAGGCAATATAAACAACTGTTTTGAACAAATGAATCGTGCTAGTGAAATGTCTTTTGGACAAGTGAATATTCCAATCTAGTAGTCCGACCAGCCTAGGCAATTCAAATCCTAATTTCTTACACTGTTTAAGAAACAATTTGTTCAAAATTGACCAAGCATAAAGATTTTTCTAGTATACTATACTGTAGTAATTATAGTGTATATACAGTATGTATTAAATGTCTTTACTATCTACTATACTGTCCTGAAATTTCAAGAAAACAACTATCTTTAAAATCCATTTTCTCAGAAGTTGCAAAACCAAGTGAATGAAATTGCTCTGGGTTTGTATTATTCTGTACAACTTCTGATCACAAAAGCTTCAAGGACATTTATGAGTGAGTCAGGTCCTATCCTGAAAGATTGTTGTTCAAGTTTGAAGACAATCCATTCAAAAATAACAAAGTTATAGCCACTAATAGCAAAAATCAAGAAAATTTAGACATTTACCTTGAATGTTAATATGGTGGTCAAGTTAATTTAGTTTAGTCTGGTCTATTTGAAGGTTATTGTGGCCAAGTATGAAGACAATACACCAAGATCTGAAAAAGTTATGAACAAGGTTAAAGTTTGATGACAGCAATGGGAAAAGCCGTCATGACTAACAATATATTTAATAATTTTGGCCCTAATGCAAACTGAAAATTCTAGCCTATAAACACTGTTGAGACTAGCTGTTCAGCATTTTTTCAATAATAAATAAATGCAAAGATAAAGTCGGTAACTTGCAAGTCTTCTAACATTTTTACAAAGAATGAACATATATATATTTTTTTCCTAATAATTCTACAATTGATGTTCAGTCATTTATATTTATAACAAGATATCGGAAAGATTATAGATATATCAGAAATGAATTGGCCCGTGGACTTTAATGTCAATCATAGAGCTCTTATGCAAAATGTAATGGTAAGCAAACATCCAGCATGAAATTTTCAAGTAGCCACAAGTTAAATAAAATTATTAAAAATACTACTTTGTCATGATTCAATTACTGCTGGAAATTGACCCACATGTTTTATTACAAATTTATTACATCAATATTGTCCATAGAAATAATAAATTAATTTTCAGTCTCTTTCTCTTTGCGCTTTCACACAGATTTGAATTATTCAAGTCCATGATTTTCAGAAGGAAAAAATCTTCTGATCATCAAACACTAAAAATTACTATACCAACTGCAAATTGCAGTCTGTGCAAAAGGCTGTCTGTCCTCGGACCTCGCCAAATAAAAATCAAGAGGGCCAAGATAAATTTTGATACAGTTATCGAATATCAATTGTACACAACAGTTAAATATAATATATTATAAACTTATTTCTATGTTAATAGATAGTCTATATACAATAGAAATGAAAAAGCAAATCCTACACAACAGTCAACACTGTAAATTCGAATCAGGGTCAGCTCGGCCCTTAAACGTACTTGGCCCTCGAGTCAGCTCGGCCCTATTCCAACTCAGCACGGGTCAACTCGGCCCATAATTATATATTACTGGTAATGATTACTTTTCTTACTTTTGATATGTTTTCATCATAACTTTCATGGTTTAACATTTTCACACTAACAGACATCTACTCAAGGATATTGAAAAGTTTTATTGATGAAAGTACCAATTTGTATGTGAATTTGTATCTAGAGAAAGAAAGAATTTACAATTTAAACGCATTTTATGCTACTCCAGATTTTTTGTAAAAATATCGTTAAAAAGGCATTTGTCATATTAAAAAACAAACAGTATTAAATACAATAAAATTCATTGTCACAAAAATTCAATCTAAAAACTGTACTGTATTTATTGATCAATATTTAACATATATTGTCTTGATATCTCTTCTTAAGATAATTATTTATCTTAAAGATAATTTCAAACAATATGTTATTAACTAAACAATCTATATCCTAATATATGGTTTTAATAGAGGACCGAGTTGACCTGTCCCGAGTTGGTATAGGGCCGAGTTTACCTGTAAATTCAATAATGTAAACAATCCTTGACCTAATTTCGTTTGTCTAACAAATTAACATCTGCAAACACAAAACGATTTTGAACAAAGAAATAAAAGCATTTCCACAAACCTTTGCGATGTTATTCATCAGCAAATCTAAGTCTTGGATGGAGAAATCTGAAAAACACGAACGTTATTCTGTCGATGGTCTGAACAATGGCGGGTGTGCCCTACTTATTAGTTAAAAACCAGGTTTTACCAAATTGCATCCGTTTAATTCCAGAATACTTTTGAAAGACTTGTATTGTAATCTTGTTTTTTATTATTTATATATAATAATTTTTTTGTTTCAAACGTTTTGATTCTATGATAGTTTGCGAACCATTTTTGCGAAAATAGTACGCCTTTTTAAGGCCACATATTGTATCCATTGTTTCCTCTTGAGTTATCGACGTAAAAAAATCAGCGGTGGCATAAAATGCTATTCAATAAATTGCTAAATATATACAATAAATACTTTCATTTCCCTTCGGCTGACTTATATGTGAACTTTTTCAGCATCTCTGCTACAAAATTACACCTTATTTATATTCAATTTATTGTACATAGGTACATGGACACAAACTTTTCTTTGGCCTAATGCGTAATAATACTGATGTTTTTTTTTCGTACACGTTTAAGATTATGTTCCATTGATGTAAGCTAACATTGAATATCATCATTTCAAGTTTTTTTGAACATCAGCTTTTTCTTCAAGTCATCCACGTTTGAAAGTTTACATATAGTTCTGCTGCACTACTTTCTTGGTCGCATTAACTACTTATTTTCTATTGAGCTTAAACAGAATTCAATTAGGTGTTGTTCGTTCTTTTTCAATATAGGCAGACCGATACTATAGAAAGGAAATTTTTTTTTGAAAAAATTTCCTTCCAATCAAGGTATTAAATAGACGCAAAACCTGTGCGCTGAATTATAGTAGAATCAATAGGGATTTAAATGGCCTTGATTATTAAGTGAAGATCTTTCACCAAATAAATCACCAAAAAAAGAATTTGTATCAATTATTAAGCTTAAAATATTTTTTCTCAAATTTTCCATTTATTTTAATGTTGAATGTAAACCTTTCATTAACTCCATTGTTTTTAGCTAACTGCATTATTTTCCCGTTTTTTATTTACACATTTTATAGAAATATGATAGTCTTGGCATAGACAAAGGAATAAAATTTTGGGTAATCTTAATAAGACATTCCAGTAAAAAATGTGCCTGATAATATGTTGAAAGAGCCATTTATTTAGCTAAATGTGACATATAAGAAACTTGACTAGGTGTAGATGCGGCTTTAAGTAGGCAGTACTAAAATATCAACTATTTAAGTAGTCGCACATAAAGAGCGGATCGAGCTTCAGAATAATGTAATATTTTCACAGGGGGTATAGAGGGGATTGTGGGGTATCGATCTCCCCGAGGGTTAAAAATAACGTTTTAAATTCCCATTAAGCTTTTATTTGTTTTTCTTAAAAGCTTTTTTATTTTTACGTTCTTCTATATTATCCAAAAAATACACACTATTTTTTTCATCTGTTGCTTTTTTGGCAATGATGAGTACAGTTATAGTGTATTCGTATTTTATATGGAAGTCAAATACTACATTGTTTTGACTACTTTTAATGACAAATAATTTCACATTTATCGCTACTTTATTCAGGTAACAAGCATCTTACATTTCTCTGATACCATCATTTTAACATTACAAAATTCATGTTTGCTCTTTCTAAAGAAGTATGTAAAATTTCCTATAAAAAAAACCTCTGGCGAACGGTTGTTACGGAGCTTACAAAAATCCTTAAGTTTGTTGATTAGCTTAATAATGTATTTGTAGAAATCACTATTTATAGTCCGATCGAAAAACTTGATGTTTCACCAGAACATTGCAAAAGAGTATATTTATATATCTTTGGAAAAAAATATTAACTGCATTTTATTTCATTCCCAGCATATTTAAAATGGGGCTCACTATGGCATTAAAAGTTATCAAGTAAAAGACTGACAGAACGGGATATTTTTTGCAGCATCTTTTAATTTTAGGAATACACAATTTCTGTACTAGAGTATTTTGAAAGGTGGCATAAAAGTGACATTTGCATTTTTTATGGATTCTTTTTTTGTTTGTCGTACATATTTTTTGTTGTCTTTTTGTTTGTCATACATATTTTTTTTATTTTGAATACATACTTTTTTTAGTTTTGCATAAATATTCTTTATCAATTTGCATACAAATTTTATTTTAGTTTTTTGGACATATTTTTTTTACGTACATATTTTTTAATGACGCCATTTGCAAAGTTGAGGTTTGGATAATTACGCCATTTGTAAAACACCATTTTCAAACACTTCGCCATCTGTAAATTACAGTACCCCATTTGCGAATGCCATTTGCACGTTTTATTATATAATATAAACTATAAAATATATATTTGACACAAGGTGTCTTAAAATCCTTCATGGGATTTAGGAGATAAGGAGCGGACATGAAACCCAAGTCTTAATCCTTTGACCTGTAGGTGTGACCCCGACCTTGAGCCGGCACACCTGACATATAAGTTCTGCACATTATCAGGATGTGCTAAAGAATTGACCTAAGTTTGATAAAAATCCTTCCAAGCTTTAAGCATTTTTTCTAAATCATTGGAATACAAGGACCTATTTAGATCTTTTATTGTGCATAATTGTAATACACCAATCATTTGTAACCACCTCCCTTGCCCCGAGGTTGTGCGGGTTAAAAAAGAATCGTGTTTTGATGTTTGCGCTGTTCCGGGACATAAGGCAGGAATGTTATTATCTATTCTCAGGGGGTGGGGTTGAGTGGTGCATATTCATGGAATAATAACTGATCACCAATCAGCAGCCCTTTCCAAACAGACACTAATATAATAGTATATAATAATAAAAAAAACAATAATTATATAAAATACATATAATTTAAAAAATGGGCCGAAAAGGGTCGGCCGAAACCAGACTTGCCCGGTCGAAAACGACTGGACCGATTCCAAAAATAGGCCGATATGTGACCAAACCACTGCGCTAGTTTTATACTCAACTATGGGCAGTTATGAGATGTGAAGGCTGTTTTGATTGGCTAAGATATATACGGAAAACAAAAATAAAATATGTACAAAAATACTAAAATAAAGTATGAATGCAAAACTAAAAAAAATATGTATGCAAAACTGAAAAAATATGTATGCAAAACTAAAATAAAATATGTATGCAAAACTAAAAACAAAAAAAAATGCAAATGTCACTTTTATGCCACCGTAATTTTGTTATATGAATAAAATTTTTAGATATTTCAAATGTTAAAATTAATGAAACTTTTATCACTTAAGCATCATAAAGTATTGACCGCCATCATGATCTCCACCTCAAATATTTCAATGTCGCAGATCGAAAATAAGTCAGTACTCAGTATTTAAGCAAAACTCAGATGACACCTTTAGACCTCTGGAACCCAAAGTGCGTTGCTATGTAGCATATTAACGCACTTTGGGGTCAATTTCTCGATGCTGACCCCAAAGTACGTTTGACCCCAAAGTGCGGTGCGAAGTTTAACGCACTTTGGGGTCGGACCCCAAAGTGCGTTTGACCCCAAAGTGCGGTGTTACATAGCATTATTGTGTCAGAATTTGATTTATTCAGCAAATGAGCAGATATGTTATGTTCTGGGTAAATAAGCTCAACCATCTAAAAATGAGAAAACAAACACGAAAACACGAAAATACTACTAAGTGAACACGTTGTCGTACATGTCATTTCGCTCCGCGGAGCACCAGGCAAACACACGAAATTATCAGTGGTTACTTGATCGTGTTTCCGTATTTTTCAGAGCAAAAATACCACATGGCATAAATTAGCCCCATAGGTATTGCTTTTGAAGAACTGCTTATGAAGATCCCCATAAACAGCAGGGGAACATAGGTCTGTCATAGATTTTAACTGGACTATGTTTCTAATTTCAATAATAGTCGAGTTCACTGCACTGCTCGAGGACTGAAAATTTGAAGACATCGTGATGAAACAAGACCTTTAACAGACAAATGGCCCCGAATATGAACAAGTCAAAGCAAAACTGTAAAAATATTCTCAGTGTGCCCAATTATTTTAAAAGCATCCATGAATGAATGGCTCAGATATGACCAGACATCAAAATACTGTTTTGGAATCCAAATATAACCATTATTTTTTCGATCAACCTCGTGATTGCTCGTAATGTGCCACAAAATAATGTTTTGCTATTTCAAAATACAGAATTGCAAGTTATTCAAAAATAAATGACAGGATTTTCTTTAAAGTTAAGTGCAACCTTGACGTTTCATTCAGCATGCAGCACATCAAATAAATGTAACGGACATTTATGCATTTAATTCTCCATTTGTTCTGTCCCGGTTATAACGAGATCCGGTTATAACGAGGAATCATCAAGTCCCGGCGATCTCGTTGTATCCGGAGTGCACTGTATTTATATATATCTATCAATGAATTATTTACTAGACACGACTATCTATTCACAATCATATCAAGACTTGGGCTGTACAAGTGTAACCTTTAACTTTAACGCTGGAGACCGGGCTCTTGTGTGCGACACTTCGCCATAATGTCCAACAACACATTTATGAGGAGTTATCCTGGACAGACATACTTAATGACTGGACACGACTAAGTACGTTTTTTTATGAAAACAATTCATACAAGGACCGTTGATGCACTACCTATAGCAAGAGACCCGATTCCGACTATTGCGCTCGACACAATCATGGTCATGATGTCCAAGACACTAGTTAACGCAAAGTTACTGTAACATTCCATAAAGGAATTAATGAACTGTGCACTGGACACAACCATCAATACACTTTTATGAAAAATTCATATAATGACTTTCAACTTACAAATGAGACCTTATATCTAGAGATCCTACTCTTGCGTGCGACACACGGTCACCAAATGTCAAGTTACTTTAAAATACATCAAGGAATGTAAGAATTGTGTACTCGGCATTACAATGATTAAGTGTGACCTTCACCTTCAAGCTAGAGGCCTGATTATTGCATGGATCACATAAATGCAGTTTTTTCCCCTCATTCATCCGGGAGTGACATAATTGTTGACCAGACACGAACATCATTGCACTTTCATTGCATATTCTTTATCTTATCATATGACTCAACGGTCAAGTGTGGCCTAAACCTTTGAGCTAGAATTCTGCATAGCTAATGTCAAATCCATCTCAGATTGACAGAATTGATGACTGCACAAGAACATCAATGCACTTTATGAAATACTTCTTTTACTCCAAGCCCGTTTTGTGGGAGGCGGGGAATAATTAAACAATTTGACAATTTTGTATACATTTGACCAATTTTTCTTTTGGTAGAAACTTTTTTTTTTTTTAGAAATAAGACAACAATTTTGTAGAAATATGACAATTTATTCAAGATTCTTTCACAATTTTAATGAGCTTACAGAAGATTCATTCTAAGACATTCTATATTCACGTTATTAACAATCAACAGTCTATACAATATGGAGACAGATTACCGTATCACTTAACCTGCTGGAAATTGTGTAATAAGTTTGTCTGCTTTGAAATTGAAAACAACCTTTGCAAAGTTTAAAGGGGTTTCCATATTGTTCAAAATACAAAACCTGATTTACCAATAGTATAAATCTTGGTCACATTGCACGACTTTGCAAGCTGGCCTGACTATATACTGGTGATAATCAGTTCCAACAGGTAAACTTCTAACAATCTTCAAAATTGAATCATTCAGTCCTAAATAATTATTACCAAATAAAAAATATACATTATGCTTGATATAACATTAACATTCTGTGTATCATAATTAAAATTTAGGCCATTTTTTGTATCAAACTTGAGAAGAAAAAAAAACAACAAAAAAACAAAAAAATCATTTTTACTCTTCTATGAACTATATATTATTTATTTACAGAAATTACCATAAGACACTAAATAAATGAATATTAAGCATTAAAAGTTAACATGTACTTAAAATCATTAATCATTTTGTCTTGTTCTATTATCTGTAATTTCTATAATTTGTTTAAATCAAATTTCTATTGGTAACATAACCTGTGTTTTAAGCCAAAACATCAGTTAGTTGGAACTTCTTGTTTTGAAACCTCAAAAATCATAGTTCAATTTAATATTATGCACTGATATAATAATATCATGTTAACTGGATTCCCATAATGAAGACAAATGTGGGTTTTGTTGCTACAAATCTTGACTTCCCTCCTGTTTTTATTATGTCAGCAATAATGAGGTTGAGTTTTTGTTTAATCAGGGTTCGTACAGTCTTAAAAAGTGCTTAAATTTCAGTCCCTTTCTTAAAAAGTGCTTAAAAATGATAAAAAGTGCTTAAAAGTCCTTGAATTTGATTATTCTCTTGAAAAGTGCTTAAAAAGTGCTTAAAAAGTCCTTGAATTTTGATACTGGATGTCTGTACAAACCCTGTTAATATTATTTTGCTGTCACCATCAGATTCACACAATATTACAACATTCCTTGTCTAAATGCAAATATAAAACATGAATAATTATCATATAACAAAAATTATTTCTACAACCTACAATTCTACTGACCTTAATTCATATATCTATAATATGCTCCTTTTTTCTTTTCTTTTATTCCTAAACAGATGGCATTATGGGTAACTTGGTTACATATAAACGACAGTTCTGACATATATGACTCACATAAACACACACCTTAGACACATATGCATTTATGCAAGCTTAAAAAAACCTGAATATTTCCATTCTAGGATTTCTACAGAATTTACAATTTTTTCTCATGAAAATTAAACACTTTACTTTTTATGCAGTAAACCATGTAAAGTCTATAATGTAAGTTATAACACAAAACCATTACTGTGTTTAGCTATTCTACATTGATAGTGAAATAAATGCTTTGTAAGGGTGTAAAGAAATAGAAATAGAATAGATTATGTAACATAAAGTACTCAAAACAAAACTGGTAATTAAATAAAAAATATATTGCACAAAAAAGGATTCATACGAGTTGCTTCACAAGCATACCTCAGAGCAACAGTATAAATAAATACTGCAATAATTTGTTCATGACTATGACATAATAATGTATATCATTCACTTTTACTATAAACTAAGGTACTATGTAAGATGGTGTAAAAGTAATAAAAGTGGTAATGTATAAACTACAAACATTGTATATTTGTTGTTGTTAAGGCACCAAGCATTCAAACACCAGCCAGCTCTATTTCTAGACCATTTACCAATCACATTCCCGGAACTGACTTGTTTTGTTTGTCTTTCTGAATTTTTACTCCCATTTTAACGCTTTTGTTCATATTTCAGCTGTTGATCCACCAAACCAGCTTCCATGGATACCTAACCGGCAATTACAAATTACTCCAAAAATGACTGACTTCTACCTTGTAATTTCATAATGTTCATATGATTTGATTGAGAACTTTTTTTAATATCAAAATAATAATATTGAGCGGTCAGACAGGCCATGTTTTTATATGTAATAGGACATTTGTGCACAGGAAACTTTCTTTGACAAACAACATAAAAGTTAGGGTAAGGGCAAAAAAATCACAGGTAGTGAATATGTTAGGAGTAACAACATAAAATCTTAAAAACAACATAAACAATATATGTTTAACACTAAATAAACAAGTCTAGAATAACATATTTAAAAAAAACAGTAAGTGTCTAATACTTTAACAATAAACTGTTAATCATAGAACAATATCACCTTCCTGGAGTATAAACAATTATATATTTCCTATGATGATATCCTAGGTCAAAGGTTATAAAAAATCACCTTGTCTCAAACTCAGATCTCAGGTATTTGATTGGTCAGAAACAAGCATAGAATATGTACTGTCCAATGAAAATCCTGAGATTCGAGACTGATCTTAGAGAAAAGTTTTATAACCTCCAGGCCTACTGTAGTCTAAAACTAAAAACTATATAAAGTTAAACTTGATGTTTATACAAAGTTTATAATGCTACTGTGAAGTGGTATGTTTTTCATGTCACCTTATGTTATTTCTTATTACTCAAATCACACTTTGTTTAATCTGTAATGAATTATAAAATTAAACACAACTGTATATAAATTAGAATTGCACAAGTTGCTATAGCAACTAAATGTTGCAGCAAACATTACAAGAAGCATAAGTGTGTTAAAATACACATGATAATATAGAGGCAAGAAATCAAGGATAAATATAAGTGGTACAAAAATTATAACAACATATAAATCAATAAATAAATGGTGTTAAAGTATGGACATGGTATCTATGGTAACACAAAGGTTTCAAGGTCATGTTCTGAAATACACTTGAAATATATCATTATACATTTGAGCCGTGTCACGACAAAACCAACATAATGGGTTTGCGACCAGCATAGATCCAGACCAGCCTGCGCATTGGCGCAGTCTGATCCGGATCCATGCTGTTCGCTTTCAAACTATATAACAAGTAGAGAAACTGATAGCGAACAGCATGGATCTTGATCAGACTGCGCGGATGCGCAGGCTGGTCTGGATCCATGCTGGTCGCATACCCATTATGTTGGTTTTGTCATGAAGCGGCTCATTTGTATTGATACTTATTTTGCATATGTGTTTTCCACTCACACACTCTAATAAACTATGACTGTGTCATCAACATGTGATCTTATATAAACAAATCTTATGTGTAACCTTGAAATAACCTTGAAATAAAAGTCATTTCTTTCAACTTTCTGCTTCTACATGACTATCACAACATACAAAAACCTGCTTCACTAGCAGCTATGCTAGAAAATAAATAAGACATCAATTAATATATACAGTCCAATCAAGTATGAAAAATGTCTGTTGCCATGGCAGCTTTTATTCACAAACACATTGATGCTTTTGATTAGAGCTTATATCAACTATAAGCCAAAATATGTGCAGTGAGAGTTCCCTCCCTTACTTCAAGCGAGTTATCCAGGCATTCTATTATGAATCAAACAGAATGCCTGATAAAGGCATTATGTTATAAGTTCTAAGCCTGGGGGGAATACAATCTGCCTATTCTAATAAAGCTTTTAATATTTTTTTATATTCCTCTGTTTACATTTGTTCACTTAACTGTGAAATCATAAATTTTCTTGGGGGACTTTTATGGATTTCATAATTAACTTCAATCAAGGCAATGTATTCATACCAAACAAAAAACATCTTCCATTCATAGACCTTTCCCCTTAATCTGAAATCCACAAATTTGTGTCCCAACAAAAATGCCGTTTTGGCCGAAACCACGAAATCAAACGCCAACAAAATTATTTGATTTCACAGTATTTCTTACTTTTCTCAACTGCTGTCATCTTATTATGGTCTCCAAACTGCTATAATTCAAGTAGAAAAAAGCAGTAATGTTATAAAGACCAGTATAATTGTTGCAGTAATTGCTCATAGCAAAGTTTAATACTCCTAAGAGGATTAACTATATAGCAATATAAGTCTGTGAAAACCAGACAGCATATGAAGTGTTCTGGATTATATAAACCTCAACAACTATACACTACAATTATAATGCATATTCCTTCTTTTTTTCTTGCTCCAGAAACAGAAATGAATCAAGATAATCTCTATACACTACAATTATAATGCATATACCTTCTTTTTTTCTTGCTCCAGAAACAGAAATGAATTAAAATAATCTATATAAATTAAACTGCTATAAACAGCAAAAAAAAGCAAATATAAAAAAAGAAGCTTAAATATAAAACTATTTTTGGAATTCTAGCCTACATAAGAGACACGTAAAATATACTTAATATAATCTCTAAACTTAGAATAGTCTTTACAATAAATTTGTTCAAAATAACCTTTAATCTCTAGATATATTTTTTTCATAATATAACAGTATCATGTTGGCCAGGTTGTTGAGATGATCTAGTTAATGACCCCTCCCTCGAGGGCCCCTGTGATGTATGACGTGACTGACGCGATACTGAACTTTCCCTCGACTGTTCCCCTCGTCCACGTGACCTTGACCTTTTACGGCTCCTTCTGAATAACTTTTTAAGACTTCCCCCAAGAGATCTAGACTTTTTCAGGCTTGGTGTATTCTCCTCGTTCTGCTTAACTCTGTGTAGGTCAATGTCATCTGAAACATACATTACACAGTTTAAGATATCAGTCTACGTACAATTAATTACCAGTTTATCAAAATAAAATATTTTTTTTTTTGCACATCAAAATAAAATATTTTTTTTTGCGCATCAAGTCATCATACTCTTGAATCTTCATATAATATGGATCAATAGTTATATATAAAACAACGTAATTACAAAAGAAGTAACAGATTATATACATGTAATTCATACCAGTGGTTTTAAGTTTAAAAAAATATGATAGTTTTCTAGATTATATAAAAATATTTCATCAATTGGAATCAAATACAATGTCTTTGTAGGTAATCTTTTATCTGAATTTGAAAAACACTCTCAACTAACTACCAATAAAAATCAAATCACTAATATCATGCAATGAACAACTAAATCCATAACCAATCTCTAACTAGAATTTAACAATGAATGGGGCATGTTTAACACTTCAGTTCCAGACTGGAACAACTGCCAGAAACAGAAAAATATAGCATTATGAAAATGTTAAGGAACAAGACAGACACTGTCATAAAATAGTCAAATACCATCAAACTTGCTGTAAAATTTATGGTTGAAGTATGAAATAAACTCATTAAATGAGCCGCGTCACGACAAAACCAACATAATGCGTTTGTGACCAGCATGGATCCAGACCAGCCTGCCCATCTGTGCAGTCTGATCAGGATCCATGCTGTTCGCTTACAAACCCTATAACAAGTAGAGAAACTGATAGCCAACAGCATGGATCCTGATCAGATGGCGCGGATGCGCAGGCTGGTCTGGATCCATGCTGGTCGCAAACCTATTATGTTGGTTTTGTCGTGACGTGGCTCAAATGAGATTGTTATAAATGACATATAGTTAATGGTGATAAAACATATCACAGCTCTAGTCACATTTAAAACATCTGTAGGGGGTGCAGTGGCCTAGTGGTCAAGGTGTCTGCCTCTCAACCCAGGGATCATGGGTTCAAGCCCTTCAGGTCACAATCATGTTTCCTCATTTGACACTTAGCACTGGTTAGTTCCAGGAAACAGAATGGAAAATATAAGTTGCAAAAACATGTTTCATAATCAAGACAAAATAAATATGTTTAGACTGTAACATCTGTTACACTAATAGATGCTCCCTGTTGTCTCTTTGACAAAGCTTTAAACCTGATCATATAATGATAAAGGTAAGGACAACCTATTCTCAGCACCAGTGACCTTGACCTTGCCAAAATCAACCAGAAAACCCACCTAAGAATAAAGGTCCATAAAAATGTAACAACATACATAAGATCAAAGATATCAGTGCAATAGCGAAGGTGATTTTGGAAACTAATTGTGACAGGAAAGAAATGAAGCACAAGCTAGCTACTATATTATCCATCAAAGCATTTCAGAGAGCATAATAAAAGAAATAATATGGTATTATATTAGATTGCATCCCTGACCATTTATGCAGGAACTATTTATATCTATTTCACACCTAATAAAACATAACCAATGAATTTTCAGCATTTGCACCACATGATATTCCAATAGAAATCATTATTGGATGCAATCTATCATATTAGCCTCATTTTCATTCCTGGTGTCTAAAAATATATATCAAATGCATATCATACTCCATCTAGCATCTTTTTCATTTTCTGAGTACTTAAAATCCATATCAAATCCTTATTGTATAGGTAAAAATGATCTGTCAAAATGTCAATGGTGGTGTGAAATAAAGAGGTCATTATACATTGTTTGAGAATAATACTGATTCTATTGGACTCATACACAGCTACAAAATCTATATCAGACTTGGCTCAGTGTCTCGCCCAATATAGTTTTGACAGCTGTGTACTCATCCAATAGAATTCAGTATTGTACTTGACAATGTATTATAACCTTATAATATACACCGATCCAAAAAAATGATAAGATTATAATGCAAGCATGATATGATAGGAAATTTATTTACAACACTGTTTACAACAAATAATTATAAAAGAAAAGTTTGAAGAGCTGCAGTGTTGATATTTAGGTCTTATAAATTGAAAAACAGTTTCTTTCATTAGATATCATTAAAAGATTTTCTCATTTTGAAAGACTTTGGAAATTAAATTCAATCAAAATTAAAAATTATATTTTTGTTGAGATCAAAATGTACATTTGGAAATAGTTTGAAAATATGTAAACATATCTTTACAGCTGATCATGTGTAGTATTAAAAATATTTATCCCGTCAAATTTGTGTGATAATTATAAATACCAGCAATTCTCCAAAGATGACATTCTACAAGATATTAAAAAAAAATGTTTGTTGCTTTAATTATCACAATACTGTTTTATCAGCTTGTCTAGTTATGTACAGTTTGTAATTAATATATCAGTTTCACATGAGATGACAATGAAAATGATGTAAATCCCTCAAATCTCAACATTTGAGCCGCGCCATGACAAAACCAACATAGTGCGTTTGTTACCAGCATGAATCAAGACCAGCCTGCGCATCCACACAGGCTGATCAGGATCCATGCTGTTCGTTTACAAACACTTCTACAAGTAGAGAAACTGATAGCGAACAGCATTGATCATGATCAGACTGCGCCGATGCCCATGCTGGTCTGGATCCATTCTGGTCACAACCGCACTTTGTTAGTTTTGTCATGGCGTGGCTCAATTTTGTACAATAGTTATATGAAACATTCCATGTCCCATACCTCCAATACTTGCATCTGAGGAATTTCCGTCACGTAATGATAAACTCCTCCTCTCTTATGATAGCATAAAAATAGATTTTATATGTACTTACATATACAATAAATATTATATGTATTCATATGAAAGAAAAACTGTGATGTTTCGTCTGTGAAAATTGATGGTGTAAAGAAAATAAAAGCAGATAATGTTAAGCAGGATAACACAAATTTGAACTGATTAAAAGACTTCAGTTTGTTAATTTGTGTAGTTTTTACGCTATTTTTTCTGGTCATATTTCAGTGGAATTTCCACCTAACCAGCCGTCTTGTATAACTGACCAGTCATTATCAATTTCTCAGCAAGTGACTGACTACTAATCCAATTTCTTGTCTGCACTTAAATATTTCATAGAAATCTATGATTCAAAAATACAAATTATTAAAAATAAAAGAAACACAGATCTAAAAAATACTGCCAGAATCTGTTTGCCTGATGTTACATTAATTTAACTTCCTGTTTATTAATCAAAACCAGACAATAGAATTCTTCAAACTTATGCCTACTGTATAGTTAAAACATGCCAAAATTGTTCACAGTAAAAAATAATATGATCCTACCTCTAACAGATGCAACTGAAGTTTGAATTGTGGTAAGTGACAAATCACTATCTATTGAACAACTGTCTATTGTGAGCATTAAAATAAACAATAAATAAAAATATCAAAACACAAACAAAAAACATAAATAAACAGAGATAAAAATAACATTTAATTCAAAAATGAATGTGTAAATGAACAAAATAAAGTTCTATGTGTAAATGAATGAAAATTATTTCTATGTTTAATCAAATTATTTAAAAATGTTTTAGCTCTATAAAATATATGTGTAATTTGGCCCAAAATAAAGTAAATACAAATCATTTTAACAACAAAAACAAATTGAACTTCAAATTTCAATTAAGCAAAAATTGTAGTTTCTTTTCCTCATAGACATGGAATGATGGGAGGCTAACAAAGAAGGAAGAGGATATAAGCACATCTGCTGCTAAGGTTACGGATAAAGAAGATGAAAATGGTAACAGATTACAAAGAAAATGTAGATTAAGTCTTTGTATAAATAAAACTGGAAACCACATACTGGCATATAGATATAGCTAGATAAAGTCTTGGACAACATAAAGTATAACATTCAGCATTCATGAACACAGATCAATAATGAATGTCTGTCGAACTTTTATTTTAAAACATGTCACTCATTATTTGTGATATCAATTTAAGGGGCGGATATCTCAAAAATAAATGAATAAATAGTATTGTCACCTACAATATTTCTTTCATAAATTAGTTTCAATTATAATTTACTTTAAGCTGGAAAAGTTAAAGAAAATTCTGTGCACTAGTTTAAATTTTTCCTTCTTTGCATATTTTTTTTTTTCAATTTCTAAATGACTCAAATATTTGTGTAATAAAATATTACAAGAGTCTAATTAATTCAAGCGAGGGTTCTAATTGCATTCTTAAAATCTTCAAGGGCACCATCAAGTAACGTTCTGTTTAACCACTCTTATTGGCCATTACTTTATGGTCTGTATGGCGTGGTACAAAAAATTAGAGTTAATGTTACATATTTGCCATGAACTACATGTAAGCCACGTTTTCATGCATTTTGTACCAAAATGTTTAAATGGAACATTTTAATTAAGTTCATAAACTTAATTTCAATATGTTAAGGGAAACACCCTTTACATTGACTTCAAATGAATTTGTCAGGAAAATATATATATGTACAGCATTTTTATCACATTATGAAAGATGAAAGACAGATCTATACGAGATATAATGTCACATTATAAAACTAGAAATTCATGCATAGAATTACAATACAGTCACAGCAATATTGCATGTCCAACAAGTTATGAACCTTTCCCAGCACATGTTATTTAACAGACTCTTTTCCTACTTTGAATTTGAAATTGTAAAATTACTCTCATTATTTCAATGCCTTTATCAGTCTTACAAGACTACCAAGATAGGCATTTTATGCAATGCCCTGTCCGGTTGTGATACAGTTGACATATATCTGCATTACTGGCCCTTACAGATTTAATGACCATCATTATTGAGATTTAGTACTACACATTGAACCATTAACAGAATTATGAAATAATCACCACACTTTCAGACTAATCAACTATATAAATTTAGTTTAAAAAGAAAAAATATATCTCTAAGTAGTATTCAATTTCATGAAACCATAGAAACCTTCACATGAGGTTACCATCATGAACTATGATAATAAAATAATCAATTTTCATGTTAGTTTATTTTCTAAATTAGTGATTGATAACATAACAGCAATATATCTACTGTAACAATGTAGAATTACAATAAAAACATAAGCCAAGTCAATAGTACAGCCCAATATATCACACTTTATAACACAAAACTTGATAACTTCCACAGTCAAAACTGTTTCTTTAAATATACATTTGAACAGACGTCAAATCGATTTATAATTTTGTTATTTAAGACAAGACAAATAATTACAGACATAACTATTTTGTCTGGTATGTAATTTCAATTTGATTTCTGATTATACATGTATACATAAAAACACAATGTACATTTGTATATTAATCCAGGGATTTTTTTCCTCATCTAAGGGAAGGTACTCTTACCAAATAAATTGGTAAAGTTCCGAAACATGTTTTTTTTTCACAACAGTTTGGTTAATCCTCCCCATACCCCACTAACTTTGATAAATAAGTTCATAATAATAAAAGGAATTATAACAAATTGCTCATAGTGCATTATAGGTTTCCCAAATTCACTTGAAAAAAGTAGAAAAAAATGAAATTTTTACATGTTTGACATAAAAATGTGTAATTTTATCAGTGCCAAAAAGATGGAGAAAAAATCCCTGTCTGCAGAATGCATTGATAACATAATGAGGTATGTGAATATAGAGAATCAGTTTTGACAAGGTTCTACAACTATGTAAGACCTTTCGAGTGGGGTCCAGGTGGCTGTAAATAATTAGACCCCTCTCTTAGAGAGCTTGATGCCCTATCTGCACTCAGAGATCGCTTCTTCGAGCGGGAAAATCTCTTCTTGATACGTGCCGCAAAAGATTTCCTTTCTAGAAATCCAGTAAATACCTCTAAGTTTTTATAAACATTTCAACTCTATGGAATACCTGTGTTTTAATTCTTATTTAACACTAAAAAACAAATTCTTCCATGTACCTAAAAATCAACAACTATTTATGCATCTGTAAGAACATTGTAATACAGAAAATCAGACAATTTTTTTTGTGATCTCTTCAACTGACATATAAGATACAGTATTTCATTTCACAATTCAGTTATTACCCTTCTAAATTATTAGCTAATTAATTCTAAATCATATGAAAATAACTGCAAGAGAAACAACCTTAAAACATCTTGTAGAAGAAAGCTTGCTTATATTTCAATCCAGTATAAAGTTAGAGCAACAAGGCAGACTAGTATAGCATCAATGCTTAAATTATACAATAAGCTTCATCTTTCAAAGGACATCTATACTTTCTACTAATTATTGTAAGCAGTTAGCTACATGTAACATGCCCTCTAATTATGACTTAGTAAGACAGCTTATCAAGAACTTGGTCCAACACATATTACTAAGATTCACTAGTTTTGTACAAAGTCCTTAATAAAAAGTGTCTTATATGAAAAGCAATTATTTTTAGCATGCTGAGGCCAGGTATTGTCTTTATTCCCTAAATTTTACAATACCATCTGTTCAATCTTTAACTGTTCATATCTGGTATATCTTAAAATGTATACATATACACATTTGCCTAGCATTGCTTCTAGAGCTTTTGTTGACAATAAAACTAACAATATAGAGCAGCCATCAGCTTAGAGTCTGTACAGACTGCAAGCAGAAAATGTACAACAGCTAGTGTACAGTAGCACTAGTCTGCGTGTACAGCAACACTAGCTAGAGTACAGCAGACATGAATCAAGCAGCACTTGCATGATCTACAGCAGCAGCTAGAGTACAGCAACACAAGTTAGTGTACAGCAGAAAATGTACAACAGCTAGTGTATGGTAGCACTAGCCTGTGTACAGCAGCTAGTGTACACTAACATAGAAATTGTACAGCAGCTAGTGTAAAGCAGTTAAGTGTACACTTACACAGCAAGTGTATAACAACTAGTGCATTAGCCTATGTACAACAGCTAGTGTACATTTACACAGCAAGTGTACAGCAGCTAGTGTCTACTAACACAGCAAGTGTATAACAGCTAGTGTATGGTAGCATTAGCCTATGTACAACAGCTAGTGTACATTTACACAGCAATTGAGTACTGCAGGTATATAGCAGCTAATGAATCACAGCTAGTGTACATGCAGGTTGTGTACAACAATACTAGATGGTGTTTATCAGTTACTAAATGTTACCTACCTTTAGTTTGTGGAGGATGAGATATTTCTGGTGATTCGGTTATTATATTTGGTGCTGATAATCTACTAGATTCTTCATCAGTAGGGAACTTTCTATAGTCTGTAAGAATACATAGATATTGTATTAAACATAACCTCTTACTATTAAATTCCATTCACACAGAGGCTCGCATAATATGATTTTATTTAACTTGTTCAATAAACTTAGTATTAAACCTACACTCATTCAATATCCTCTATTTACTATTCAAATTCCATTCACACAGTTACCGTATATATATTTTTTATAACTTGGATATCAGATAAAATTGAATGATAAAATAGCTTCTATATTCTATGACTTTATACTATATGTCATCTATGCCGTATCCCTATGTCTTCAGATATAATATTCATTTCATTAAAAAAATTGGAAAAAGAAAAAAAATTTTAAAAAACTTTTCTTGTCTTTAACTCTTGCACTTGGATGGAAACAATAAATTTTACAATTTTTTATGAACAATTAAACATGTGTATCAGGAGAGTTAAAAAGATAAATTCATAAATACATTAAAACTACACAGAATGCCCATTTTCACTATTATTCAAACAATGATTTAGCAATTTGTTCATTCCTATATACCACCAGTCTTACAAGAGATTTATGTTACAGAACCATGGTTTCCTAGCAGTGAAAATATCAATTAAAATATAAAAACAGGAAATTTGTTTGTACCATTCATAACATTTGTAGTACCACATATACATGTAACCAATTTTTTTGAAAAAATAAATACAAAGGTATGGCATTTAGCTTAAAAAAGAAAGAGAAACACATGTGTTTCATGTCTGTAAAATATATTTGGTACACATGTTAACCAGGCACCCTGGTTTTCTATTGGATTGAGTGGATTTCTGCAGACTTTAATCTTTTACACAAGTAAGTTGATTGAGAATAAATTAAAGGTAAAAATGTTAGGCAAGATATAAACCATTTTATCTTGAGAGATTGATGAAGACAGACTTGATGTTAAACAAATGTAAACTTTTGAAATGTTTCCACTAAAATAGCATTTTTTTTATTCATTAACAAAATAAAGGTGCCAAACTGTGAGGCAATGTGTGGCAGCAATGTGGAATTAGTGTAATTGTTCAGAGGTGCACACTATAGTGTAATAAAAATAAATAAATGATAGCACTCAATAGGATACATTTTTAAATATCATCTTAATAAATTAATTAAGCAATGATTTTGCATATCAGTTCTAAGCAAATTTGTTTAAGAGTTAAAAGAGGAATGTACAAAGTATAAGGTTGTTATATTATTCTGTAGTCATGTTAAACATTGTTTTTTGCATGCAATCAGTAAATTTCTCCAGGATTGAAGATTTATTTCATTATGTTTGGTTTGAAGAATACACCGATAATTTTATCAAGTTAAACTAATACATAGTTAGGTTATAATGAGCTGTGTCACGACAAAACCAACATAATGTGTTTGCGACCAGCATAGATACAGACCAGCCTGCGCATCCGTGCAGTCTGATCAGGATCCATGCTGTTCGCTTACAAACCCTATTACAAGTAGAGAAACTGATAGCAAACAGCATGGATCCTGATCAGACTGCGCGGAAATCCAGGCAAAACTTTTAAAAAATAATTTAAGGACCATAACTCTGACAAAAAACATTGACCTGAAATATGCTGATGATATGCATAATTAAACTTGGTACTGACCATTTATTTGAAGATTGGATGAAATTGCACTGGTAGTTTTTGAGAAGTAGTCAGGATAAGTTTTATGACAGACAAAAATGGAGAAGTAGAGCCTTTATAGCAGGTGACACAGCAGGTGACACAAAAATGAAGAAAATGCGGGCACACAAAAGACAATACTGATCCTGAACAACTGTGTTTCTTTAAGTGAATTTGCACAATCATTTTCATTTTTCAATCATATGATAAAATTGGGAAAAGTTTGCAGGAAAAGTGACATAGACAGAAAGTGGACACATCAAACAAGAGCAAACAAAGATAAAGCATGTAAGTTATTCTTCATCTCAGCCAATTAAACCCACATCAATAGGTAAAATAAACAGATAAAATGTCTACATGTATGAAATATTTCATAATCTCATTTCTTTTACTGTGCTACTTTGCAATGATGCCAGGCAATTATTTTTTTATTGATAACATTAAGATAATAAAATATATGAATTCTTAATATTAAAGAAGTAAAACTTATCATAAATGAAGAGAATTAACAGATAAAGCACTCTGTATATTTTTAAGAGGCAATATTTATAAATTTATATGTACATGTAGGTGAATCAAAAGTAAGCTTCCTTTAAATTCACACAATTTTCTGTTAAAATGTAATAAAACCGATTCAAGATGTTCAGTAAGCCAAGAAATTAGCTGGAAAGCCATGTGAAAATAGAATGAAAGTGTGAAGTAATTAAAAGATATAATTATACCTTTATCTTTGGTACAATGACCTCCTTTGTAAGCATTAAAAAAAATAAACAGCTAAACTTATCAATATTCAATATCTTGTTATTGAAATGTATTAACAAAAACAGATGATTAAAAATTTTCATAATAAGTCCATGCTTGAATACATAACACACTGCAAATTGTGATGGGATAAAAAAACAATTTACTTTATCAAAGAAAATAAAACGAGGTTTCAGATAATGTCATGCTGAAACTATTAATATTCTTCATTTCATTCAGAAAATTGTGAGATCAACAAATTGAGAGATCAACAAATTAAGAGATCAACAAATTAAGAGATCAATTAATGACCTGTATTTTTATTTTTTTTAAATCATATAAAGCAAATGAATATACAACACTATTAAGTTATTTGGTTATCCGTAAGATTAAACTTAAGTTCAATTTAACTACAAATGCCTTTAAAATGCTACTAATATTCAATTTAAATCTTTAAAATTTGTAAAATTGAATAATGTAAAGCTAGTTCATTTCTTCAATTTTTTTCTATAATGAAGTAAACAGGAACTATGACTTAACATTGTGAACATTTATTGAAACATTTTCACCACTCTTTGGTCTAATTTCAATATATCAAAAATATTGGACCAAGGTTACTTACCCTTTTTACACCCGTAATTATTAATGTGGAGGTTTTGGCGGGAGTTTTCTTTCCCGATTTTGAGCGTTCAGATTGTGGCGGTCGTTCTGACAGGGCACGTATAGCAGTTTCAGCGACAGACTCTACACCATTAATGTGAACTACTTCTGTAAACAAGCAAAACAAACACACACTCTAATATGCATCCAAATAATACCATGCTTCGTATCGTTGTAAAAATAAATATGAACATATATTAGTTAAACTAAAAAAAAAAATATGCAAATTTCTAACAGGTGCTGTCAATCAAAATATTTTCCCTACTTCCTGCAGCAAAAAGAAAAACAAGTGGGTATAATTTTTACATGCAAACACCGTTTTTCTTTAAAGAATTTAAAGGAAAAATAAATTTGCCACTTCAAGAAAAATATTTAATTCAGTGATATTAATAAATTTTATGAATTCAATTAATTGTGATTCAGGATAACTTCTACTTCTTGTGATTTAAAGTCAGTTTATGGCTTTTTCTGATATTTTTATGATGCCCTTATGCATGACCTCAATTATGACCTTGAAAAATATATTGACCTTGACCTTTCTGTGACTGGAAATAGACCCAACTTAATCTTTGTCATATATATAACCTCACATATTTCTTTGAAATCCAAATACAAATTGCATAAAAAATTTGGACAATTTATACAGTAACTAGGAAAAAGACATTCTTTAAAGTAACTATAATTAAATTATAACTGAAAAAAAAAGAGAAAAACTTTTATATGACCAAAGAATGATTACCTAGGCATAACTATCAATGAAATTATTAAAGTTTAGTCAGGAAAAAAAAAACCCAACTTATATATAGGTAATACTAATATATAACAACCATAAATTCCAAGGCTAATCAGTATGTCTATATGAATAAAAGAATTATACACACTCAGGTAAATAACCTCTGGCAGTCATTGGTAATAAAGCTGTAAACATCATAACATTCTTTGCAGACAATAGCTTTATAACATAATTGGTGAACTGCCGACATATCTTTTCCCCCATCAGCTTAATCTATCTAGCTTCACTTCTACTATATTTTTTCTGTCTAATATATTTTTATTCATATTAACATTTCCCATGTACATTATTCCTAAAGTCTGTTGGTTATTCAGTCTGGACATATTTTGAAATGTTCCCCCTAAAAACATGAATGGTCCGGTACAGATAGAAAGGAGGACAAGTCCAATTAAGATATTTAGCAGGGTAAAAGTTAAATGAAACCAACTAGCTTAAAGCTATTTTACAATTTTTCAATTATACTGATTGAAGAAGCCATCATTTGCCCCTTCAATGCAATATGCTACTATATAAGGCTCGAACAACCACCTAGATAAATCAACCACCTTCTGTAAGCTAGTTTCCATATAATTTGTTTTCTAAAGTTGGTTTATCATTTATAATATCATTGTGTGTGTGTTTTATTAATCTTGATTCATACAAATCAAATCTTGTTTTAACAAGACTATTGTTCCCATAGGACACATGTCCTCACATTTCAATGATTTGTCAGTCTTTGTCAGATGGAATACAGCAATACCCTAATAGAAGTGTGGTTATAAAAATCTTCCATTAACTTACGATCCTACAAACTGCATTCAGCCATTTTTCATAAACAGTTTTTTTAATGTGTTGCAGGACATATTTTGTTATTTTTTTTATTATTCATATCTTATAATATAACTGATAAAGAATTTCTTGACACACATTAACAATTCTAAATTAGTTTCTCAATGAAACCTTTTGTCCCTAACTTTTCAATTACATGAATTTTAATTACTCTATACACATGAATAGTAAAATAACACCAACCCCTTTCATACCTTTCATACCCACTATTACAAATTATAAATATTTTGGTAATACATCATGAGTAACATGTATTATTTTAATATTATACAGATAAGTGTAACAATACTAATCAAGTGTGACAATCAATATAATGTCTTGTGAACCATGCTTAAATAAGGCAGGGGTCAGTCAATGAGATGCATAATTAATCATGCGTCTTGTGCTAACAGAATACTCACTGGTGATGGGCGATAAAATGCTGAAAATGTGACAACATAATATAATCTAAATAAAAGTATAGACTTTGTTTATTCTTAGGGTGTTTTTAGTTCTTGTTGCTTTTTTTGTTAAAAAAAAAAAAGATCCGAATAAAAGTTTCATTTTCAAAAAATTGAGCAAAAATTTGTCTCTTTTATAATTTCTTAATTTTACTAAAGTCTGGTTATTATGTAGGTTTAAAATTCAAACAAATCTCTCTTGAAGCTGATTGGCTTATTTGCAGATCAGATTTGAAATTGACCAATGGTAGTGCTTCATTTATAAGACTGGCTTTAATACAATTTGTTACACTGTCTGAACTATAACTTTTAAATGGAACAATAGCTTAGTGGTTAAACTGTCTGCATGTCAATCCTGGGATTGTGGTCAGAGCTCTACTAGGGTCATGACATGGGGATGCAGTGTTGGTAGTTTCACTCCAGTAAGCCATATTGAGTTTACCAGAGTGCAGTTCAGGCACCGCATCATTCCTGGGCATGCTGTTAAGCAGTTTACCAGTACTAGTTGCTTTCACTTTCGCAAGGAAGTGATAACTTCCGTACATCAAAGAGCAGAGGTACAGTGCGAATGAAAGGATTTCATGATCAATCACAATGAAAGTGACATGCACTTCCAAGAATTTCATCCAGGTTGCCTGATTCACAGTCCAAGCTCTACCTATTGACCAAGATGTCTACTCAAAAGTAGTATAAGCTACCAACTTTATTTGCAATCTTATATACATGACTGTATATTTAATAGTGTTTAAGCTAAACGTTGAAGACCATTTTATCCTAACCTTCAAGAAAATTTGTTCTGAGAAAAGTGTATGTGAAAATAGCTGCACCATTTTAAATTGATGCATTGCCTACCTGAAGTTCCCATTTCTGGGTTAGAGGAATTATAATCAAATGTTCTTTTTTCTATGTAGCTTGGGGAACCTGAAAATAGAAAAGTAATCCCATAAAACTGAACATAAAGTGACAGAACTTCTAAACAAATTAATCTAAATATAATACAGACAAACACCATCTGCCAACATTTGTTACTAGTACTTTGAAATCATCTCAAGTTGCTCTGTGTGCATATTATATCTTCAGTGTTTTCATATTTATGTTGATAAAATTAATGTTTCTACAGATAATCAGTGTTATAGTTATACACAGATATTGCTTTTCTACACATACACAGAATCATTCTGATAGTATACACAGTCATACCTAGTGCTCACACAAACAATATAGCACACAGGTAAATACTGGCCAACAAATCAAAAATATATGTATTAAATACAGGCTAAGCATCTGACTACATGTATAGTGGCAAAAAAAATTAAGCTAACTTTAAAATGAAAAGAATTTAATTTGAATGTACAAGGACTATTGGTTGCAATGGTAAAACTGTGACCAAAAGAACAAGGAAATTTTACAAATACATTTATCCAATGTACCTTGATAAAAATTTGACCAAATGCTCAGGAAGTACAAATGCAAAAAATGTATTTAAGTTAGTAATTTTGAATGGTCCTCATAAATGTTGAAAATTTGCCTCCAATGTAATTAAAGATAAAAATTTAATTAAATGTATGTTTTTAAGTCTGGTTTAATCAAATGTCCATGATAATTTTTGAGCAAACATATAAACTATCAAAGTTTTGCAAAAATGTGCAATGATAAGGGTTTGTCTAAATGTACAACCAAAGATATAATGGCAAGGATTTGGCCAAACATACAATGATAAGGGTTTTTCTATATGTACAACAAAAGATATTATGTCAAGGATTTGGCCAAACATACAATGATAAGGGTTTGTCTAAATGTACAACCAAAGATATAATGGCAAGGATTTGGCCAAACATACCATGATAAGGGTTTGTCTAAATGTACAACCAAAGATATAATGGCAAGGATTTGGCCAAACATACAATGATAAGGGTTTGTCTAAATGTACAACCAAAGATATAATGGCAAGGATTTGGCCAAACATACAATGATAAGGGTTTGTCTAAATGTACAACCAAAGATATAATGGCAAGGATATGGCCAAACATACAATGATAAGGGTTTGTCTAAATGTACAACCAAAGATATAATGGCAAGGATTTGGCCAAACATACAATGATAAGGGTTTGTCTAAATGTACAAGCAAAGATATAATGGCAAGGATTTGGTCAAACATACCATGATAAGGGTTTGTCTAAATGTACAACCAAAGATATAATGGCAAGGATTTGGCCGAACATACAATGATAAGGGTTTGTCTAAATGCACAAGAAAAGATATAATGGCAAGAATTTGGCCAAAAAGTACAATGGTAAGGGTTTTGCCAAATGTACCATCAAATATATAATGGCAAGGGTTTGGCCAAATGTACAATCAAATGTATAATGGCAAGGATTTGGCCAAATGCACAATGGTGAAGATGTAACCAAATGTACAATCAAATGTATAATGGTTTGGGCTTAGCCAAATGTGTAATGGTAAAGATTTGGCCAAATGTTCAATCAAATATATAATGGTACGGGTTTAGCCAAATGTAAAATGGTAAAGATTTGACTAAAAGTACAATAAAATGTATAATGGCAAGGGTCTTGCCAAATGTACAATGGCAAAGATTTGACTAAATATACAATCAAATGTATAATGGCCAGGGTTTGGCCAAATGTACAATGGCAAAGATTTGACTAAATGTACAATAAAATGTATAATGGTAAGGGTTTGGCCAAATGTACAATGGCAAAGATTTGGCCAAATGTACAATTAAATGTACTATGGTAAGGCTTTGACCAAATGTACAATGGTTAAGATTAGGCCAATATACAATCAAATTAACAATAGTAAGAGTTTGGCCGAATGTACAATGGTTAGGGTTTGAACATATCTAAAGTACAATAGTAAGAGTTTGACCAAAATAAAATGCAATTTAATAACCAATTGTCTAAAGGAACAGTGGTAAAAAATTGTTTATATGAATATTGTTCAGAATTTGATTAATGTAAAATGGTGAGGATGTGACCAAAGGTGCAATGGCTTTAAGACTCGAGTTATATTCAACAGTAAAGATATGGCAAAAACATATACTAAAGAGTTTTGGACGGAACCAAATGCAAATGTTTAACATTTAAATGTCTAAAGGACAAAAGAAAAAACTACAGTTAGGTGTAAGAAATCAAAATGGTTCAATTTAGGCAAATCAAGGAATAAAATGATCCAAAGGTTACCCAAGAATTATATCAGATCTGAACTATGATATTATAATAACAACACAATAATGTTATAATTTATAACAAACCATCAGTGGTAGCATCATATCTCGAGTTTTGAGGTCGTTGAGTTGTCGTTGTTGTTGTAGTTACAAGGGTACCACCAGGGGTCATTGACTTTGATGTCTCAACTGTCCGCCGTGGAGTGTTAGATGTATCTAATGCATCGGTGTATAAAAACTGTAACAAATTTATGGAACATTCATAAGCTATTTCAATGGAAACAGATATGTAGGATTTTCTTAATCAATATCAATATTTCTATTACCCTAAATATCTGAGGCACTTGATATTTATTGTGTTACCTCACCAATTATTTCCTGCCTAAAGTGATGTTAAAAAGATTTCAATACCGGTAATACTCCATTTATTGTTAAATGATTAATTCTTACACATTTCTTCTTCTTTTAAGACAATGGTTGTTAATATAATGGGAGTTGTGTCCTGGTTTTTAAGCCTTTTAATCCAGGTATTGTGAGTTTATGCCCTTCTGGGGTCGAAATCACGTTTCCTTAGTTGCAGGATATAGACACATGAGTATATCAAATTTTAATAAGGTAAGAGCTTTCTTCAATGAATTAAATTTAAACATATAAGACAATATTGCTTTGATCATTATTGAAAAAAAGATGTTACACTTATCAAAAAACTTGCAATTGAATGTTTGGTGCAAAACAATTGTAACTTGACTGAAATTAAGACAGAACTACAACTGTCACACTCCAAGCTCTCAAGTTACAAACCTAGTATTGCTATCATTGTAAGGCTTCAAGTTACAGCAACAAATCATTTAAAGCCAAAAAATGCTTATGTTCTACAACATCCAGAAAGCCATTTCTGGATTGACAATACAGTTATGCCATGTTCAAAGATCATGCTTTATCTTAAACATTAAATTCCAGTAACAGCCAATATTGCTTTTCATTTCTGCAAATCTGTTTTAGCAAGTATTCTTAAAATTGAAAAATATTCAAATGAACGGAAGCAAAGATGGCTAATCATTGACAAAAATAAAATATGAACCAAGATCCTGCTAGAACAAAAAAAAAATAAAAGGATAGGCCTTAGAAGAGCCAGGTCAGCCTGTAACATCTATGCAAGCTGACCAGGTTCCCAGGTTCTAAGTATAATATACAGTAGGTAGCTAAATTTTGGTATTTGACAGTGAAATCATTGAAAATTCAAACAGCGTGTTTAAAATTCAGAACAGGGCAAATCTATTTCTCAAATTTCAGCAGGGTAGAGGTTTAAGGAACCATGCACATGCTTGATATAAAGTCTTGATTCCTCTGAAAAGATGTATAAATATTTGTCAAGCTTTACTCTCCTGTGCTTGTGAAAGAAGATATTATATTGGGAGTGAGAACTAAGGAAATGTTAGATATGTGCATGCATGCAATGTGTGAACACATACATTAGGGAGTCTATAAAATGTCAAACTGCAAACAACCTTTATGCTCAATGCACACGAAGTAGCAGAGATTCTTTCAAAGCAGTTATAATATGTACATTTCACTTTCAATAACTTTTAAATCCATAACACACATTTTTTTTTTCATCTTACCAAACATTTATGGGAAAGTTTTCGAAAGAATTTCCAAACGAGTTCAGTTTTTTTTTTTGGAAGGACTGGATTTAAAAATTACTGAAATTTGTCACAAATACAACAATGACAAGTTTTACAAACACTTCTGAAAAACGGTAATGTATTACACAATGTGTTGTTATTTCTACTTGCTACTGTGCTAGATTTGATCCAATCATTTTGCAGTCTGAACATTTCTAGACTCACCTCATGTATGTAACCAATGGCAACTGAAATTCTCTAATTTGATTGGCTGATTATCTCATACACAGCACTCCGATTGGTGGATATATACAACAGTCTTCAAAATGGATTGGTAACACAATAACCAATATATACACTCCATTACGCTGATATTTACAATCTTCAAATCTGATTGGTTACTTTAGAACCAATCAAAATGTATATATAACACTGGGTTGGTAAACATTGATGAATATCGAAGGATGTAGGACTAAACTAAACCAAAACACAGGCAGCACACAGGTAAATTGTCATTTTAATGTTGTCAACATCATTGAAAACAACCAGGTGGACAAAAGAACTGAAACATAAATAATGGTAAACAGATAGTACAAGAAACATGTATCAGGATAGATAAAAGAAGATAGTATTATTATAAATGAGGCAAAATTGGAGAAACATGTGAACAGAGAGACAAAGAAAATGGGCAACAACAAAAAAAACAAAAAAACCCAAATGTTTGAAAAATTAACCCGAATGCTTGAATTATTAAGACAGAAAATCATATATTTTGATGCAGTTTTTTTTTTCAAAGTACAGACATGCAAAAGAGAACAAAAGAGTATAAAATAAACAGATTTAGATTCAGTTAATTAATATGAATAGATTATGTATATGAAATATTTTTCTTTCATGGGTTTACATCAATATGGTCTACAGCATACAGTTATCTTTGAATATACCTCCATAAAAAAGAGAAATACATCTGAGACAAGGAAACAGAAATGCCAAAAGATTTAAAACCAAATATTGACACATAAAATTGTGTTTATGGAACTCTACACTTAATTCAGAATTGCCTTTGTTTGGTAGATCTAACATAAGCAAAAGGAAAACTATTTTTTGAGTACATGTACAACAAATACTGGACCTCCTATCTACTAAATATACAGTATAAATTGTGTCATATATAAATAACTTCATACTAAACAATTATACAACAAATAGTAAAGGATATCCTACTTGTATATTTATGTACAACAACTACATACATATATATTTATATCTCCTGTCATTTCCTACTTGATAAATTCATGCATTAAATCACATAAAGAAACATTCATAATGATAATAATGCTGAAACTTTGAAATGAAATTTATTACCTTAAGGTTAAAGTTAACACAAACTTTCGAACACTTTCAAAAAATTAAAGATCAGGCCTAAATGTTACTTTCAAACATATTTTGCCTTTAATTTTGAATCCCACCCTGCTGCTGTATGTTGACTGCTTATTTCAGTACAATACATGTACTGATATCGAACATTTAAATGCTAAAAGATATTTTCAAATAAAAGTTTAAATTAAATAATTCTTTTGGAGATAATTTACCTATTCTAACTTATATCTATAGCAATGTTTAATATTTCAATGTTACACATGAATAATAATAGACGGAGGAAGTATTTATATGTTTATAAAAGTAAATATAAATAACCATGCTAATTTAGCAAAATTAGAAGCTATTACTACAATAACATATTTTAGAATAATGCTCCCCACCACCCCAATGCATATTCTAATTATTTCTACCTTTACTGCATAAAGCAGCAGAAATTCTTAGTACCAGATACATGTATATAACTTTGAGAGAGGAATATATGGTCAAAGAAATGCAGCAATAGCACTCTATAGCAATAGTAGTCTAATGTTAATAAAGCTGTAATAATCACTAACCTCCACAGTAACAGATCCAGACACAAATTCACCGACACCTAGTCGGCCCTGTAATGGTATGATCTGACGAGTACTGGGGTTCCTGGCCAGATCCTCACAATATACAACCGCCTCACCTAGGAAGTTGTCTGAAAAATAAAAAAAACATGGTCATACTACTTATCACAACAGTACTAACCACCATATAATCTATAGAGGGGGATTACCTTGACACCCACATATTTTATCGAGGGGGTGGGATGCCTGACCACCACATTATTCTATAGAGGGGAATTTCCAAGACCCTTCATATTTCATAGAACAGGATAATAAATGATGTAGAAATGTTACTTGTTTTAATACAACTTTATACACTATTTTGTATAAATAAAAGTTTGGGGACCTTTCTGTTGAAAATGTGTCAGACTTAAAATGTATACATGTACATGCACAAAGCGTTAACTGGAGTGCAGGTATTAATTACCTGCACTCCAGAGCATGCTTATTGATTGGCTCATTTTTGCTGGGGTTTACTTATTGTGACAGCAGAAAGAAGGGAAGTGATAGAAATATCATATTCAAAATTAATGCTCGTTCATTGGTTACTTTTTTCTGGGGTTTCATATTGTGACAGCAGGGAAAGTGTTTTTATGTTTGATTATGTTACAAATGAGAAAGAAGTTCAAAGAACACCAAAACATTTGGCAATCTGATAAGCTAAAACATTTTTAGATACTCTTTCTATTACATACACAATGTTTTATTGCACCTGTCCTGTGTGCTTTATGTATTATCAAAAACCACACATTTTTCAATCTATACCAATTATTAGGAATAGTTGAAAACCTTGCATGAGGCCATACTGGCAGATATGCAAGTTTCAGATAACATATTACAATAGTAATGTTACATAAAATAATTATCAAGAAAAGTTATCATAAAAGTTTCTTTCTCAATTCTGAAAAGTTATATATAATTTCCGGGAAATGAATGTTTTGAAAGGCTCATTGGATAACATGTGGTGCAAGAGCTGCGATAATTCTAGTGCCAATATGTTATAAAACAATTCATAACTGCAATCTACTCACATAATTTATACATGTATAATGATAACAACATATGTACCATAATGTATGAAGCTGCTGAAGAATGATAATACAAAACAAGAGGGCCATGATGGCCCTGAGGTCGCTCACCTGTATATAGCCCCCCCCCCCCCGGCCCAATTTTTACCCAAGGGCTTTTATTTGTTTATTTGAACAGACTTGGTAAACACCCATAGGAAGTTGTTTCATGCAAAACATCTAAGTTCTAGCTCATTGGGTTTTTTAAAAGAAGATTTTTTTAAGTTTTTACTATACACATATAGTTAAAAACAATGACACCCCTCGGGCAGGGCCAGTTTTGACCCCTGGGCTTTCATTTGAACAAACTTTGTAGATATTTACTTAAAGATGTTTCATGCTTCATATCTAAACTCTAGTTATTTGGGTTTTTTCAAAGAAGATTTTTAAGTTTTTGCTATGTATATAAGGAAAATCAATGACCCCCGGGGCGGGCCAGTTTTGACCCCAGGGCTTTTTTTTGAATAAACTTGGTAGACACCCATTAGAACATGTCTCATGCTAAATATCTTAGCTCTAGCTCTTTGGGTTCTTTAAAAGAAGATTTTATAAGTTTTTACTATATGCATATAAGGAATATCAATGACCCCCTGGGGGCGGGGCCAATTTTGACCCCAGGGCTTTTATTTGAACAAACTTGGTAGACATTCACTAGAAGATGTTTCATGCCAAATATCTAAGCTCTAGCTCTTACGATTCTTTAAAAGAAGATTTTTTAAGTTTTTACTATATGCATATAGGGAAAATCAATGACCCCCCGGGCGGGGCCAATTTTGGACCCCAGGGCTTTTATTTGAACAAACTTGGTAGACATTCACTAGAAGATGTTTCATGCCAAATATCTTAGCTCTAGCTCTTACAGTTCTTTAAAAGAAGATTTTTAAAGTTTTTACTTTATGCATATAGGGAAAATCAATGACCCCCTGGGGCGGGGCCAATTTGGACCCCAGGGCTTTTATTTGAACAAACTTGGTAGACATTCACCAGAAGATGTTTCATGCCAAATATCTAAGCTCTAGCTCTTACAGTTCTTTAAAAGAAGATTTTTTAAGTTTTTACTATATGCATATAGGGAAAATCAATGACACCCTGGGGCGGGGCCAATTTTGACCCCATGGCTTTTATTTGAACAAACTTGGTAGACATTTACTAGAAGATGTTTTATGCCAAATATCTAAGCTCTCGCTCTTACGGTTCTTTAAAAGAAGATTTTTTAAGTTTTTACTATATGCACATAGGGAAAATCAATTACCCCCCAGGGTGGGGCCAATTTTGACCCCAGGGCTTTTATTTGAACAAATTTGGTAGACATTCACTAGAAGATGTTTCATGCCAAATATCTAAGCTCTAGCTCTTTGGGTTCTTTAAAAGAAGATTTTTTAATTTTTTAATTTATGCATATAGGGAAAATCAATGACCCCCTGGGGCGGGGCCAATTTTGACCCCAGGGCTTTTATTTGAACAAACTTGGTAGACATTCACTAGAAGATGTTTCATGCCAAATATCTAAGCTCTAGCTCTTACAGTTCTTTAAAAGAAGATTTTTTAAGTGTTTACTATATGCATATAGGGAAAATCAATGACCCCCTGGGGCGGGGCCAATTTTGACCCCAGGGCTTTTATTTGAACAAACTTGGTAGACATTCACTAGAAGATGTTCCATGCCAAATATCTTAGCTCTAGCTCTTACAGTTCTTTAAAAGAAGATTTTTTTAAGTTTTTACTATATGCATATAGGGAAAATTAATGACCCCCCGGGGCGGGGCCAATTTTGACCCCAGGGCTTTTATTTGAACAAACTTGGTAGACACTCATTAGAAGATGTTTCATGCCAAATATCTAAGCTCTAACTCTTAGGGTTGTTTAAAAGAAGATATTTAAAGATTTTTCTTTCGGTTGCCATGGCAACCAGAGTTCTGCATGGAATTAAATTCTTTGAACAATTTTTAAAGGTGACCACCAAAGGAACATTCCTGTGAAGTTTGGATGAAATTGGCTCAGTGGTTTATGAGGAGATGTCTTTTAAAGCAAAAGTTTACGGACGGACGACGGACGCCGGACGGACGGACGGACGGACGCCGGACGAAAAGCGATCACAAAAGCTCACCCTGTCACTTTGTGACAGGTGAGCTAAAAATTAACTTATCATTTTAGTAAAGGGAAAAATTTATCTCACTGATTTATAATCTTGCCTGATACAATGTAAACTAATAAATAGACCAAGATCAGCGGGTGCATTAGTTTCCTGGGATAAACAGATCTGTAAGGAACTTTAGCTATTTAGAAAAATATCAGAGAATTATGGGAAATATCCTTCCATCTGTGATGTCTGTTAACAAACTTTCCAGATCTTAATTAACAAACAATTCCAATCACCTGTTACAATCATTGGTGAGATAATCTGCTGTCTGGCCTAGCTGAGAGAGAGAGAGAGGATTAATATGAAACCTGCTGACTTTGTGTTATAGATTTGCCCAGCAGTACATTAAAACCTAAGGGAACTTGAATATCAATATACAAAAATTAAACCACAAACAATATAGAGTATTGTCAGATTGCACAAATGTGCCAACTCACAGGTCAAAGGCTCTATATATAAATGTCAAATGTTAACCATTTTTTGATGGCTCAAGCTTACAAGAGAATAATGCTTCAATGTTAACTACAGCAAAAACAATATATTATATACTGTATGTGTAGAAATATTCGCGGGCTTCAAATTTTCGCGATCTTCGCGGTGACATTTGATCCGCGAATTCATGTTTAGCGCGAATATTTCTACACCAATAATTTCTTAATAGTCATATTTTCGCGCTCTTATAGAACAATGTATATCAGCGTGTGATATGCTTTCACACTTTTTATTTAAATATTTACTGAGTAATTGTGTTTTGTTTTCCAAGTTATTCATCATTTAAAATCGTTTATGTTTGATTTTTTTTTGTTTTTTGTTTTTTTTTAATTGTTTGTTCAGAAAAAAAAAAACATGATCTGATCAGATGTCAAGACGTTAATGACGCAAACTGTGAAAAATTATGCACGTTAACGGGCATTCATTTGTTTGCTATAATTTGTCCGCTAGACAATGTTCTTTTTCTGTACAATAGAGTATTGTTTGACACTTGGTATTGAAAATAACTGTGAACTCCCACGATGATAACAGTAATTTTCCTTTTTAACCTGAGTGGTCTACGCGAATTTATGATTTTCGGCAGTCACCTCCGCAAATTCAAAATAGCGCGAATATTTGTATAGACCCCCAAAGTGGACCTTTCCGCGAAAATTTGCTTCCGTGAATTTAAATACACATACAGTATTGGGAAGTCTACTAAAAAATTTTCCTTTCAACTTACATAGCAGATTTTATTTCAATTGTTTTATTAGGGTCCCTAGCATAATTTATGTTTCTTTCCAAATTTCATCACCTATGTTTTATTTCAAGTGTATACCCAAAATGTTTGATTTCAAGTTTAAACTCAGATGTTTGATTGAAAGATGCAACCATTTGTTGAATCATACATGGTTAAAATAGTATTCATACTCAAAGATTCTATATTAAGGAACCTGCTGTTTTTTTTTCCATTCTATGCAAATCAATGTAACAAGTAAAATAACAATTCCTAACAAAACGTTCATGTAATAAATATTTATACCACAATAAAGTGTTCATTTTTTATCTCATAAAATTTCTTGTTTATATAAATGATCAAGTCTCTTTGCATTCTTCTGTACATTTTATAACTTGATAGAAATACTGGAGTTCTGCCAATGCCAACACTTGTAGATAGTCTCTCGATAATACTGCCACAGTCTTTATCTCTCTGCAGAATTTACATTCTTTATACTAAGGGGGAAAAAAGCCTTTTTAATGTTTAAATGCAATAAATGTCAGATCAGGATTTCAATTAAAATAGCTGATGGTTTGAAAGCCAAAACTTTTAAGATAAAAGGAGTTGGGAAAAATAGAAGTAAAAATTAAAACAGTTTCAAAGATAACATGCATTCTGACAGCAGAGGAAGCCATTTTCTAACAGATAATTACATATTTCACAGATTTTGGTAACCTTGATGGACAATTTATATGTGATTTCATTTGGAAACCAAATCTTAGATTTGACATCATAGAGCAGACATTTTTCTGTAGCTCAAACTCAATAAGATATTTTTCAATGCATGTTTATATATTCTAATGTTAGGTATAAATTCACATTAGCACTGTCAAGAAATATATGAAATTTTTCAGTTGTCGTTTCTTTTACTTAGGCACAAGGTTATTTTCAATAATAAACCTTCTGAAAGTTTTGTAAGGAAAATTCTTTCACATAAGAGATGAAAATATTATCAACAGCAATTTAGATTTACATTACTTTCAGTGGAATGCGAATGACTTGTTTTGAGAGAAAAAAACAAGGAAAGAATGACATTTGTATTTATAAGAAAGTTTATTTTTGCATGATATTTGCATTTATAAGAATGTTTATCTTTGCATGACATTTGCATTTATAAGAATGTTTATCTTTGCATGACATTTGCATTTATAATTGTGTATCTTTGCATGACATTTGTATTTATAAGAATGTGTATCTTTGCATGACATTTGCATTTATAAGAATGTTTATCTTTGCATGACATTTACATTTATAAGAATGTGTATCTTTGCATGACATTTGTATTTATAAGAATGTGTATTTTTGCATGACATTTGTATTTATAAGAATATGTATTTTTGCATGACATTTACATTTATAAGAATGTGTTTTTTTGCATGACATTTGTATTTATAAGAATGTGTATTTTTGCATGACATTTGTATTTTTAAGAATATGTATTTTTGCATGCTTATTTAGAAGTTGAAAGATGAGTGCAGCGTTTGTCCCAATTTAAGTGTGGCCATATAATTAAGTCGGCAATGCAGTAAACTTAATTAAACACTATTTGTCAAAAATGATGACTATTTAGGCAAAAACACAAAATTTTCATCCTAAAATTATCTTTGGGAGCAAGCCACTGGTCATCACATGCCCCATCAGTCTCAGATAATTGAGTCCTTTACTTTAAAATTAGCTAAGCTATAAGCAACTTAGATCTTCTATAAGGACTTAATTAATGTAAAAGACTTCAAGATTAATTTAATAATCTGTTTATAAAAGTCTGTGTATAATCATCAAAATAATTTTGATATTGTAATGAGATATTTATATCTATAAGGTATTTATTACAATTCTTCATGGTAAGTATTACAGTATATTTTAACCTTGAAGCTTTAGTCTGATCACGCCTCTCAAGATCTATATCCTTGTCTACAATTTGTCAAGGTAAGAGAACAGAAGGTGGTCCATATCTTTATGATTGCATGTAAAATGTTTACAATTTTGAAGCTATTACGTCAATAAGTTACAGTTAGACAGCCAAGGGAGATAAGTGATTATCATCCTAATATCTCACCTTGTGAAAACAGCCCTGAGGAATATTTCTTCTATCAGAACTCATTATCAGCAAAGGTAAATTCATGTGAAAGATTTCTCAACAACAGACTGTACAGAGTGAGTGTGTAGGGATCTATATAACTAACCTATACCTCACATTGATTCACACTTGACAAGAAATAATAAACAACAAAAAACAATTTATGGCTATGAAAATACCACATCCCAGAAAATGTTTGTTGTTGGATCTCACACAGTTTCTGATCTTTATCACAATAAAATAACAATTACAACCAACTTACAATAGTGCAAAGAGGAATAACTTATCCCTGTACAAAAGCTAGAATAAGTACAAAACAGTATTTACCTTGTAAGATGTACAAGAAATTGATTTAGTCAGGAATATGATTAATGTGTTTGTAAAGGGTTAATTAATGCTTACTTCTACAACAGCATTTGAGCCATATTTTACCAGTAAAAAACTTATGATATTACTAGGGTCCAAGGCTATAAAGATTTCTTTGCTCATACTCAAATCTTCAGCATATGATTGGTCAGACACCAGCTCTGAATGTACACTGACCAATGAAAATGCTGAGATTTGAGACTGAACCCAGCAAAAGATTTATAACCTTGAGGCCAGGACTCTTGGATATTCTACTATCTACCCTTGCAACATGAAAAATCTTAAATGGACTTGTCCATCTTTTGATCTGCACAAGACTATGAATTGAGCCATGTCACGACAAAACCAACATAGTGCGTTTGCGACCAGCATGGATCCAGACCAGCCTGTGCATCCGCGCAGTCTGATCAGGATCCATGCTGTTCGCTATCAGTTTCTCTACTTGTAATAGGGTTGGTAAGCGAACAGCATAGATCCTGATCAGACTGCAAGGATGTGCAGGCTGGTCTGGATCCATGCTGGTCGCAAACCCATTATGTTGGTTTTGTCGTGACGTGGCTGAATTATTTTTAAGGAATATTTCAAAATATGAACAGTCTGAACAGTGACCATGATGAGACAGCACCAGTTGTGCTAGCTGATCTCAGTGTCTACTGTTCACATGTATAAACATGGCCGCAGGCAAAGGTTAAATAGCTTATTTCAAACAATAAACACACTTCAGATTACTTGAATATAACCTCTTTTATTTGAATTTAAACTCTATCAAACATTGGCAGAGAATAATCTAAATTGCAGTTGGTATTCAAAATATCTTAGATATAACTGTTTATGATCATATTCAATAACAAATTCACAAGAATACTTTGATCAACACATTTTTTTAAAGCAATACTTTTTATATCAATAACGTTTACCAAACCAATGATACCTTACCGATAATATCTCTTTTCCTTTTTTTTTACCAATTAAAAGGATTTTAGGTATGAATGCATCAGAGTATCATTTTAAGATAATATAAATTGTAATAACAACATTTTCTAGAAAATAATATTTATCCTCATCATGCATAAACCTATAATGGGATTGATTTGCATGGACCAGACCAGTCTGTGCATCGCAGTTGATCAGGATCAACTGTTCGCAATCATTTCCTAATAGGGTGAGGATAATGAAATCGACTGGGAATCACAAATGCATTTAAAAGATCCTATATGGATTGATTTAATAACAGAGAAAACTAGAGTTTACGAAAATCTCTTAAAAGGTAAATCAATTTAAAAGTCTTTAAGAGAAACTGGTTTTTTAAATAATTTGAAGAACTGTAAATGATTATTTCATGATATTACAGTTTTGAGATGGGGGCTCCCTATTTTTGGTTTACAGATGTTTTTGTTTTGATGGTACACTAGAGTTTTCCTGTTCATGGTATAAATTGGTTTCCCTGTTTATGGTATACAACAGTTTCCCTGTTTATGGTGAACATGGGTTTTCTTTCCTGTTTCCTGTTATTTGAATAACAATAAATTTAACAAACATCAAATTGTATTCTTTTGTTAAGAAATATTTTGTGGTAAAATTCTTACTGTAATCTATTAATCTGATAAATGAAATTGAAATGTAGGGATCTATGCATTCAGTGAGGTAAAAAAAAAATCTTGTCTGAATACAGAGTATAGTTCTAATGTTCAATATTAGTTCTGATATCTACATGAACTTATAATATAACTATTACTCATTCAATAAAATTACTGCACAGAACCAGAAAAATATACAATTTGTAAGTGTGCCAAACTTGTATGATGTTTATATAGCACTATCTGCAGCTATATCCAACCTGTCTATCTTAACTCTAACTATATCAATGATGCTTACATAACAATCTCTACATCAGTCAAGAAATGAATGCAGATTTTAATGTGTGCAGATATGTTGAGGAAAAACTTAACTTTTAAAAAACTCACAACATTTAGACAACTTATGTGCAATAATGATATCTATAACAGTAGTTCTTAATTCAAAAGCTGAAAAACTATCTGACTAAAAATCAAGTGCAAGATAAGAGGTTTTACATAAATGAAAAATTATAAACTTCATTTACATATAAAACAGTACAAAAGATGGGGCTCTGGTGTGAACACATAATGTGCTTGCAAAAGCCAATAATGGTGTTTTCAAGGCTAATTTTACACTTTTCAAGACTTATTTTACACTAATTAGTGATTACACTATAACAAGTTTGATGCCCTGAACTTATTCTTAAAGCTATACTGAACAAAAAACAATTTTCCTTAAATCTTTAAGGTTATTTGTCTATTTAATTAGGTTTCCGAGCAGGATTCATACTACTTCAGTCAATCAATTTATCTTCTGGGTTACATATGCATTCAGTACAATATTGAATTTACTGAATGTTCTTATTCAGTACAATATGGAATTTACTGAATGTTCTTATTCAGTTTAATATTGAATTTACTCACCATACTTATTTGGTACAATATTAAATTTACTCATTATTCGTATTCAATAAAATACTAAATTTAATCATCGTTCTTAATCAGTACAATAATGAATTTACTCACCGTTCTGAGGGCGACTCTTGTCAAGAACTTCAAATCTAATCTCTTGAGTGTCTCTGCTCACATCACTGCAATCAGAAAACACATTACACTGTATTTGTCTAGACTTAAATCAAACAAGACACTCAGTGTGTAAGCCATCTGTTCTCATATATAAGAAAATAATCTTTAACTAAACATCTGTTTTAATCCCCAGTCTATAAACTTTGATAAATATCTGATGTGTGACATTTCAATTTATTCATGAATCTCACTCTTAAACCTCTGCATGTAACCTTGACCTTGGCCAGAGGGGACTGAATGTTGAACATTTCTGCCAAGATAACATATCAATGCATTCACTAAGGACAAGTTTCACTATGGACTCCAGGATCTTAAAGTGTGACCTTGACCTTTGACCTAGAGTCCTGTGTGCAACACTACATCTCATTATGGTAAACATTTCTGTCAAGTAATACTAATATCTCTTCGTGCAAGTTAAAGATAAGCTCTGTACAAAATCATTAAACTTAATCATCTCTGGTGACCTTGACTTTGCATATATTGACTGCATTACACTGGCTATACTCAGTTTCATGATCGTAAACATATCTGATATAATCCTTCAATTCAAGACTACAGAATTGTCCATACACACATTTTCATACTTTTTAACTGACCTTTGATCTCTGTGTGACCTAGACCTTAGCCAAGGGGGCCTCAATTTTATGCTCCTCCACACTATGTCTCATACTGGTGATCATTTTAGCAATAGTATATTAAATCCCTCATAGCATGTAGATGTTTTGCAAAGGACACTTTTTCAAACAAATAAAAACAAGAGCTTTATTTGATTATCTATACCTATTACCTAAGTATCAATTACAATTCCAGCGAATAAAAAAAATATAACAAATCACCAATTATAAAAGAGAACTAATCATGTTTTTTTATATTTCTTTATCAGATGAACAACAGATGGTATCAAATGCAACAATCATTTCCTGGCAATAAACAGACAAGTGTTATACAATATGTACTAAGTTTCCAGTGTCCACACTAATTACCCTCTGATATAATTGTCTACTACATAAATCATTGACTGACAGGATGATCTCCACTGGGTGTTGAAGTCTATACTACAGGTGTTATACATTTTCTAATGCTATATTCATCTATATTCAGTCCACATTTTCTATAGGAAATAATATTCCTTGGAAAGATAATAGAAAAGATCACTGATAGAATAGTCAGAGTACCAGTAGTCTTTGTTAATTCAACATTTTTCTTAAGTACAATGTGTAATATAGTGGGATATTGATCATATAAAGAAAAAGTTTGGAAAGATTTTTCACTTATAATATTGTCCCTTTGACATTTAATGTCCTTCACATAATATGAAACAATTAAACAAGATTTCTTATTTTTAGTTTTCTTTTTACATTTCAGGAGAAGTAGTTCATAAGGAGGACACAAACTTTGGGACCAAGTTTTCTTGGATTCAAATCCTACCAAAGACAAAGCAAGAAATTCCCTACATAACTTCACTACATGACTCCACTGTATAACTTCAAGGCATGACTTCACTACATGGCTTTACTAAATCACTTAACTACATGACTCCACTTGATAACTTCACTGTATGACTTCACTGCATAATTTCACTTCATAACTTCACTACATAACTACACAACATAATTATACTACATAAATTCACCACATGTCTTCACTACATAAGTTAAATTGATAACTTATTACAATAACTTCACTGAATAACTTAAATACTTCACTACTTAACTTGATAACTTTACCCATCACTTCACTACATAACTTTAATATATTACTTAATTATCTAACTTCACTACAGTTCTACATGATTTTACTCCACAACTCCACAAAAAAGCTTCACTACATGAGTTCACTGAATAACTCTACAACATAGCTTCACTACATGAGTTTACTATATTAACTTCACTTCATGACTTTACTACATGAGTTTACTATATTAACTTCACTTCATGACTTTACTACATGAGTTTACTATATAACTTCACTTCATGACTTTACTACATGAGTTACTATAAAACTTCACTTTATGACTTCACTACATGAGTTTACCATATAACTTTACTTCATAACTTTACTACATGAGTTTACTATGTAACTTCACTTCATGACTTTACTACATGAGTTACTATAAAACTTCACTTTATGACTTCACTACATGAGTTTACCATATATCTTTACTTCAAAGCTTCACTACATGAGTTTACTATATAACTTTACTTCATAACTTTACTACATGAGTTTACTATATAACTTCACTTCATGACTTTACTACATGAGAATATATAACTTTACGACTTTACTACATGAGTTAACTATATAACTTCACTTCATGACTTTACTACATGAGTTTAACATACAACTTCATGACTTTACTACTGAGTTTACTATATAACTTCAGTTCATGACATTACTAAATGAGTTTACTATATAACTTCACTTCATGGCTTTACTACATGAGTTTACTATATAACTTCACTTCATAACTTTACTACATGAGTTTACTATATAACTTTACGACTTTACTACATGAGTTAACTATATAACTTCACGTCATGACTTTACTACATGAGTTTACCATATAACTTCATGACTTTACTACATGAGTTTACTATATAACTTCACTTCATGACATTACTACATGAGTTTACTATATAACTTCACTTCATGGTTTTACTACATGAGTTTACTATATAACTTTACGACTTTACTACATGAGTTAACTATATAACTTCACGTCATGACTTTACTACATGAGTTTACCATATAACTTCATGACTTTACTACATGAGTTTACTATATAACTTCAATTCATGACATTACTACATGAGTTTACTATATAACTTCACTTCATGGTTTTACTACATGAGTTTACTATATAACTTCACTACATGACTTTACTATATATCTTCACCTAAGTTGGGCATGAACCAATATATAACTACTCAGACTTACAAGTAGAATTGCTCATCCCAGAAAGGGTTGTATGTACTCTTCACTACATTAGTAATCTCCGTCTGCTGGGGCGTGTCTACACTCATAACACAGTATGGATCAACAGCACCTGTCAAACACAAATATAACATCACAGTAGGTTTCTAAATGTATGCTATATACAGTTAAGTATGTAACAAGTTATTTTTGTTATTCCTGCATGTAACTAGTATATTCATATTCAATGAAAATGTCATGTACCTAACAAATGTTCATCCTGCCCGTGACATAAAAGGTTTGGTTATTTTTACATTCAGATAAACCGTAATAACATGTAGGAAATAAACATGTCTAAAACAGATATCAATAGTCAAATATACAAAATTCTTATTATCAGAAGTGGCATAGTGATAATTCTTTTTTTCTGTGAAGTTTTTAAAGAGAAGTTTATCCTAATTTATTATAGACTGTGTTGGAAGCTATCACCTTATTGAAACACCCTCAAATCCATTCCTGGAACCAACCAGTACTAAGGAATCAGTGTAAAGTTTCTTGCTCATGGAAATAACAGCTTGCTACTGACTGGGTTTGAACCCAAACAGCCTATATAAAAGTGTATAAAATGCCTTCAAATGCAATAGTATCTCACAGATTATATGATATCAATTATTAAAAAGATTCATATGCATATTTATAAATTTTTCACCGTAATGCCTACAAGAAGAACAAGATTTTTTATAAATATTTATAAAAATTTTAAGATAACAATAAAAGGTAAAGGTAAAGGTCTTGTTTATTAAAGTGTCACCGCTACTGAAAGGGCCAGCCATTTCTGACTTATAAAGACATCTTTTGCTTGCAAACCATGTACCTCCCAACTCCTACCACTATGCCAGGTGCCAGGTGGATAGAAATCGGTAACCATTCAATATGTATTACCTGCATTCTGTTTAAGTCCACTAGCTTTGATGACCTTCACAAAAAGGCGTTTATCACCCGGACCTTTAGGCTGCATGGGTCTCTGGGGGATCTTGGTTGGAGTCTGTAGAGTTGGCACATGGAACTGAAAGATTTACATTATCTTCACATTTAATAACTAATATAGTAGTTTATAAAAAAAATTTGATGCAGGCGTGTAATAATGCCACATAATAAAAATGATATTACACTAGTGAAGTAACAGTTTCACATGACGTCACTTGCGTTATATATATACATAGCGTTAAATCATGCTAATGTTAGCTTTACACTGAAGGCTTGTCAATGAAAAATGACTCTTTTTTACTGTAAACTGTTGTTATTTTGAATATGTGATAAACAGAATATCATATTTGTATAGATTCAATACTTAATTTATTGAACCTAATGAATTGAACTCGCCAGAAGCTAGCATAATATGATTTTATTCAACTTGTTCAATAAATTTATTCATTCAATATTCTCTATATATTGTGGCCCATATGAAGTGCACAAGTGCATGTGGTAATAAAATTATTACAAAACATATCATCAGCAGACTATTATAAATGCCACAATAAAAACATATTCACAAACAATCGTTATTGAAATATATCACTGATTCCTTACTTCAAATCTGTTAAAAAATAACAAATTTCAACATTTGTGCATTTTGAATGATATGGGTAAAATCTATGTTGTTTGTGCTCTCTGGTTTGGGATAAGATTCTTGTACATATCATTAGGCTTCAATTAACTACATATGTATCATTAATTAAGGATATATATATAAGTTCATTTCTAACATTTGAACAGAGCCAATGTTAACTGAAAGCAAGTGAGGACTTTCTTTAATCATTCTAGCACACAGCTTTACAACTGTAATCATCATTATATATTTTTACAAGTTTTTTCTTCTTCTCAATTTAACTAAAGAAAATCAAACCCTGTCATAAATATTAACTACATGACCCTGTACCTCCTAGATAACATTTCATTGTTGTGTTTTGTAAACATTAAAATTAAGTGTCTGATACAAGATATGTGATTACACTACAAGCAACATAACACTTTAAACAACATCTAATTTGAAGAGAATAATAAACAAAACCACCTGTTCCATTCTAAACTTGTAACATTTTATGTTGTGCTACAATTCTATCAACAAGTAAATGAGCAATTTCAGAATATATTTCCAGTTGTATCAACATCTTCGATACTTCATTATATGCAGTCAATTCACAAGTATAACAGGATTTTAAGATACTGATACTTATATAAATCTGATGATTACACAACAAGCACTGATAATGGTACAATATTCAAAAATCAATGCTGTAAAATTTAATTTCACAACAACAATTTTTCATAGCCTTTTATCAAAACAATTGGTTCAAAAGAGCTCTGTTTTTTGTCAACAAAATTAACACCTTGTTTCACAAAACATCAGCTTGAACATAAAAATGCAGAGCTCTTGTTTAAGTCAGGTGACCATTTGTAAGTAATATAACTGTAACTTGGTAAACATTTAGCATACAACGCAGCTGAAAAACATCATGACAACTTGCTGATTTTTTTTTTCAAGAAAATGTCAGATCCTTAAAAAAAAAATATGTTGGCTGACTTAAGACAATCTGATGCTGAATTCAGTAACAAAATGAGCCACGTCATGACAAAACCAACATAGTGCGTTTGCGACCAGCATGGATTCAGACCAGGATTCATGCTGTTCGCTATCAGTTTCTCAACTTGCTATAGGGTTTGTAAGCGAACAGTGTGGATCCAGATCCGACTGCGCAGATGCGCAGGCTGGTCTGAATCAATGCTGGTCGCAAACGCACTATGCTGGTTTTGTCATGACTCAGCTCAAATGTATTTTATAAAACACAAAAGTGTGAATAGCAAGTTCTTACAGCACTTGTCTGAGTCTGTGGAACTTCCTTCGCCTCAAATACTTCTGCCTGCCCTTGTTGTTGGGCGTGTCTTGGAGATTGGGGGGCGGAGCCAGGGTGCTGTAAGTTCTCTGATGACCTGGCCATCTCATTGGAGCGTTGACGCTGTATTGGAATTGTGTCACGCCCCACTGGTTGATTGATCCAGTCGGACAGGTTAAACGTTGTGCTGGTAAGACATATCGTGTTTCTGACGACTTCCTGAACAACTCCTACGTCTACCATGTCACTTGGATCCTATATATGAAACAAATTATTACAACTTAGTTATTTCTTTCAAAATTTCAATGTACACTAAATACACAATTCATTTATTTCTGCCAAATTAATTTGTCATATTAAGGTTAAATATTCATTTTAAGAGTGACCTTTTAATTGTTTTTCTATTAATTAGTGCATGTGAATTAATTTTCTATTCTAATCAATTTGCAAAAATAACTGCCTGATAAATTCTATATTACTTGCTTGAAAAAGTGGAAGGTAACAAATTAAAAGATCTATGTGAAACAACTCTACAAGTACATAGATAATCTTAGAGATAACAAAAGCTTCCTGGGGAAAAATGTATCATAATAAAATGAGCCGCGTCATGACAAAACCAACATAATGGGTTTGCGACCAGCATGGATCCAGACCAGTCTGCGTATCCGCACAGTCTGTTCAGGATCCATGCTGTTCGCTTACAAACCTTATAGCAAGTACAGAAACTGATAGCGAACAGCATGGATCCTGATCAGACTGTGCGGATGCGCAGACTGGTCTGGATCCATACTGGTCGCAAATGCACTATGTTGGTTTTGTCATGATGTGTCTCAATTAAACAATCCTTGGTCAATAGACTTAATATTCTTTCTAATTATGCCTGTTTATACAATGTTAGTACTGATTATTTCAGCTTATGATTCTTGAACATGGTATCTTTTATAGCATACAATATAGGTTTTTTGTTGACGATTTTCCAATAGGTTTTTGGTTGACTATTTTCCAATAAGTATCTTTTATAGCATACAATATAGGTTTTTTGTTGACAATTATTTTCCAATAGGTTTTTGGTTGACTATTTTCCAATAGGTATATTTTATAGCATGTATACAATATAGGTTTTATTTGGTTGACTATTTTCCAACAGGCTTTTGGTGGACTATTTAAGAATAGGTATCTTTTATAACTTACAATATAGGTTTTATTTGGTTGACTATTTTGCAATAGGTTTTTGGTTGACTTTTTTCCAATAGGTATCTTTTATAGCAAGAATATAGATTTTTTTTAAAAAGGTTTTTGGTTGTCTATTTTCCAATAGGTATCTTTTATAGCATACAATATACATGTAGGTTTTATTTGGTTGACTATTTTCCAATAGGTTTTTGGTTGACTTTTTTCCAATAGGTATCTTTTATAGCAAGAATATAGATTTTTTTTAAATAGGTTTTTGGTTGACTATTTTCCAATAGGTATCTTTTATAGCATACAATATAGGTTTTATTTGGTTGACTTTTTTCCAATAGGTTTTTGTTTGACTATTTTGCAAAAGGGTTTTGCTTGACTATTTTACAACAGGTTTCTGGTTGACTATTTTACAATAGGGTTTTGCTTGACTATTTTACAACAGGTTTGTGGTTGACTATTTTACAATAGGGTTTTGCTTGACTATTTTACAATAGGTTTTGGTTTGACTATTTTACAATAAGTGTTTGCTCATTTTTTTTTATACAAGTCAATGTATGTAATTAGAAAATGATATTTCTTTGTTTAACAGAATTTACCCAATTATGTTTCCGTACATTGGCAACATTTGTGACAAACAAGAAATATAGGTCATACATGTATATCATCCATCAAATATTGGATATTTTTTAATGAGAAAACAACTGCTCATTAATCAATCATTAATCTATTATATCAAAGGCCTTTTTCATTAGTGTTCAATCCCAAATGGTTATTACATAGCTTCAAGTAAACAAATTGACTTTTTAACATAAATTTCCTGTATTTTGTTAAGATTATAAAGACAAAGAGTTATGAAGGCTTAACAAAGACTGATAAAAAAGGGAAAATTTTTCTTTTGCTGTGTTTCAGGGCAATGGTAAGACCATAATTATGGCAGATATTGGGAGTCTCATGGTGCCTCTACATGCATTATTTCAGGAAAAATGGTAGAACCAGTAATCTAATATAACCTAGCTTGAGAGTTTAGTTTCATGAAATGTATAAATTCTAATTCTTTTGTTGGACTTTAACCCATAATATGGAGGTATAACAGATCTGAACCACACCACTGTACAGAAGTCTGTATGACAAATGTTTGGTTTAAACATAATTACGGTATTTTATATTATATATATATATATTTATTTTAATCAAGTTAAAATGCTATACAACATACAGAACATTAATACAATTGCATGATAAAGTGGTTTGATTTTTACTGAAAGCTAAAAGCGTATTCTAATAGTCTCCATAACTATAGACTTAACTATTTTTTTTTGAGGGAGGGGGTGTGGGGGTTGGATTTTACTTAGTACCAACACAGATTATAAAGATGTCTGACTAGCATGTTTTATGGTTCTATATACAGTTATAAGCTTATATAACCTGAGCCACTAGGCAAGAGTTATATTATTAACAACCATTTATACCTGACCATATAACATGCCATGTATTTTGACCAATTTATGATACAGCAGGATTTCTTTGCTTTAAGAAAAGAGGAAAATTTATTTATAAATTGATAGCAGGCACTTATAAAGATTATATATGAGCCGCATCACGACAAAACCAACATAGTGCGCTTGCGACCAGCATGGATCCAGACCAGCCTGCGCATCTGCGCAGCGCAGTCTGATCAGGATCCATGCTGGTCGCAAACCCATTATGTTGGTTTTGTCATGGCATGGCTCATATATATATATGTCATGTTTATATCCAATGAAAAATGATGTTACAAAGTGCAGGATACAAACAGTGTCTATAAATTAAGTACTACGAGAGTATATTACCATATAAGGATTAACTGGTTTGCCTTGAACTTTAATGTCAGGTCGTCCACTGAAGCCAATCTCTGCCATCATGTCATTGCCTTGCCGGAAACAACGAATACGTAACTGAAATGAAAATATTCCTTACACTGAAATTATATGTTTGATTGAAACTTTCACATTAACGTATGACTGATACTTTCACATTTATGTATGATTGTGATTTTTCACATTTACAAATGATTGAGACTTTCACATTTACGTATGATTGAGACCTTCACATTTACAATATTATAAGTCCATTTGATCTCCATAATAACTGTGTAACATGACATTTCCATGTCACACTTTAGTTTCACTTCACTTCTAAAATTCAAACTTGTTAATCCAAATCTATAACGAGGTTGTTAACAGTCCTTGTACCTACTTTTGTAACAAATTTTTCCTCTGCTTACCGGACATACAACTTAATTTTAGTCCAGGGATCGCAGTGCAAGTTCTTGTAAAAATTCTTGTGAACATAACATTATTGACTCCAACACACACTTGGTGTGATGATTCTGAATATAAAACACCTATGTATTGTACAGTATGGTCAAGTATTTATTTAACATGGATGTTAAGAATGGCAGTTGTTCAAGGCATAATTGTTAATTAGTTACTGTTTGTAGTAATAACATTGTTCTATGATAGATGACATACACACTCACAGTGTTTATATTGTAGGACTATAGCATCTCTGTGATAATGAAACTAATCTTCACTTACATAACACTCATTGTTACATATCATTCTTGTAGCAAATCCGTTTTTCATGAAGGTGACCTGATGCCACCATGTTTTTTTTTCAGTATCAAGACGTGGCTTTAATATGGACATTTTAGTGACTAGACATGAACATTTCATTGTCATGTTTTCCAATAGTAATAGTACACAAGAAACATGGTATTGTTTAACTTAAAACCAACATACTGTAGCTCACACTTATTCATACAAAATTACACCTTTAATATGTGGTGTGTCAGACATAGATTCAAGTTGTGTGTTAAAAATATTACTTTCCATGTTATTCAAGAAAATGAGAACAACAGTTACTGTGATAATATCAGTCTTAAGTAAAATTTTATATTTGATATATCAATAGCACTGCAGTGAAAAGCACAGCACTTGTGCAATGTTCGTCATAGGTGTAATATACAGCACTGGTGTAATGTACAATACTCATGTCATGTACAGGGCTATGGTAATGTATAACATTTGTGTCATGTTTGGGTCTGGTGTTATGTACAGAGCTTGTGTCATGTACTAAAGCAAACTAAACTCTGACCTTTTTATATAACATTTTTCATTTGAGCTGCTTCACGACAAAACCAACATAATGGGTTTGCTACCAGCATGGATCCAGACCAGCCTGCGCATTCGCGCAGTCTGATCAGGGTCTATGCTGTTCGCTATCAGTTTCTCTACTTGTTATAGGGTTTGTAAGCGAACAGCATGGATTCTGATCTGACTGCGCGGATGCGCAGGCTGGTCTGGAACCATGCTGGTCGCAAACCCATTATGTTGGTTTTGCGTGACGTGGCTCATTTATTATAATTGACATGCAATAAAGTTGAAATAGCTATACCTGTCCTCTGAGTCTAAGTACTGTGACAACCAGGTTCGTGAGTTTAACACCCTCGTGAGTCTGCTGGGAAGCAAACACGGCAAACGAAAGATCACGAGAGTCAATTCGTGCATTGAGAACCTGAAAATAACAGAGCTTACATTAGTCATGTAGTAAAAAGTAAAAATTTCTGAACACCAAGAATTGAACATTTTTTTACCATCATTTTTATGTATAAGGCAAGTATTCACTCTAGTAAGTCCCAAAGGCATCTAATCATTAACTGTAATTGTTTAAATTATTTCACAGACATATGACAAAAAAACCAATAGAATATATGAAAAACATATCCATAAAATCTGAAGAAAACTAGAACTGCCACTATCATGGCGTGAATACCCCCGCATACCACTTTGTCAGAATCAACAGTGGCCATTTAGAGCTCAAGGACAACCTCCCTGCCAAATCTGAGGTTACTAAGCCAGTACATTGCTAAGTTTTGTATTCTACATGCTTCAAATGTGAAAATGTCAAAATCAATACATTGCGGACAGGACATTCTTTAGCAATTGAGAAGAAAAGCTCTTTTTTTTTGTCAAGGTCCCTGTGACCTTGACCTTTGACCCAGTGACCTCAAAATCAATAGGGGTCACCTTATTGTCATGATCAACATCCATGCCAAATATGAAGACTGTGGGTCAAAGGAATCTTAAGTTAATGGGTGGACAAACTTTTTGAAGTCAAAGTCCCTATGACCTTGACCTTTGATCCAGTGACCTCAAAATCAAAAGGGGTCATCTACTAATCATGATCAACATCCATGCCAAATATGAAGACTGTGGGTCAAAGGAATCTAAAGTTATTGGGCAGACAAACTTTTTGAAGTCAAAGTCCCTGTGACCTTGACCTTTGACCTGGTGACCTAAAAATCAATAGGGGTCATCTACTAATCATGACTAACCTCCATGCCAAATATGAAGACTGTGGGTCAAAGGAATCTTAAGTTATAGGGCGGACAAGCGTTTTGAAGTCAAGGCCCCTGTGACCTTGACCTTTGACCTGGTGACCTCAAAGTCAATAGGGGTCATCTATTTATCATGACTAGCCTCCATGCCAAATATGAAGACTGTGGGTCAAAGGAATCTTAAGTTATTGGGCGGACAAGCTTTTTGAAGTCAAGGCCCCTGTGACCTTGACCTTTGACCTAGTGACCTCAAAATCAATAGGGGTCATCTACTAATAATGACTAACCTCCATGCCAAATATGAAGACTGTAGGTCAAAGGAATCTTAAGTTATAGGGCGGACAAGCTTTTTGAAGTCAAGGCCCCTGTGACCTTGACCTTTGACCTAGTGACCTCAAAATCAATAGGGGTCATCTACTAATCATGACTAACCTCCATGCCAAATATGAAGACTAAGGGTCAAAGGAATCTTAAGTTATTGGGCGGACAAGAAAAAACTGACGGACAAGCTGATTCCAGTATACCCCCCTTACAACTTTGTTGTGTGGGGGTATAATAAATCTTGTATCATTAATATATATGATACAAACACTTATTGAGCAATTGAACATATTAACTGGATGCCAACAAAAGACACCTTATCTAACTGATAGTTGCTAAAATATGTTCATCCCTTGCACTGTTATGCCTTATTTATAATCAAAAACTGTTTATAACTGACAAATGATAATTAATACATATAATTTACAGAGTACTATTAAAATGGCATTTTATTTCTTTAATTGTTATCAGTGATCTGGACAGTCAGTAATAAATTAAGGTCAAAATATTTACTAACCACTTAATCTTTATATATTTTTATATAATATCCAAAATCCTCTTTTTCATTTGTATCACTCTCAAAGAAAACACAATAAGTAAGAAGAATATAGGCATACAAGCATTTATTTATTCCTTACCACATGTATTATAAATTGAGTTTAAAGTATTTAGATCTTTATTCATCACATGTGGGTAAAAAACTTACCATACTTGCCCTAAATAAAACATACACACCTTGTTAATGAGTCTGCTGTGAAGCAAGTTCAAAAAGCCAGGTCTGGTTATGCCTTAATTAAGGAGCACCTGTTTTAACTCCAGAATAATATTATCTGTTCAGCATTATTAATACTTGAACAAATGGGTTTCAATTACCATTGGAGAAACTGTTTCAAAGTATTTTAATTTCAGACCTTAACTAAAATGTTCATTAATGATCCAAGAAGCAATTTTTTGGAAAAGCTCAATAGTTTTATTTTATAACAGTCAACTTCGTGTATAATAAACTGTCAAGCTATATTAATCTTGTCACATAATTAAGATGTTGGTGATGATATTTAGGAACATATATTTTAGTTTGGATTAAATACCTTGAAAAATAAAGAAGTAATAGTAAAAAAGAAACATTTTAAAAGAAAAATTCATAGTTCAAGGGGGGATATTCTGGTAAAGTAATTGACCTTGTCACACATGATGTGGATTATAATAAGGAACATATATTTGAAGTTTGAAATACCTTAAGAAAAAAAGTTAAAGTAAAAAATAACGTTTTTAAAGGTTAAGGGGAAATAATTCTGGAAATATTGGAGGTAGTTTTATGGACATTGTCACATAATTATGATGAGGTTGATGATAAGGAACATACATTTGAAGTTTAAAGTAGATCCTTGTTACAGTAAAGGTGCCCTCACACATAAACCACGACCTTACTGCGACCTGAAATCTAGTAAAATAGCATTTTTCTTTCGAAACTCGTTGGTTTTCTTTCAAATTTCTCTCGCAGACGGTCCGGGGCTCTGCAGTCTTGTGTTCAGTACGTTTTCTCTCGGTCCTCAATACGACCCTTCTACGTCCATGGCGTTTCCACTGCGACAGTATTGCGTCCACAAGGCGACCCCACGGCGATCATCGGCGATCCAGCTGCGACTGTGCTATGTTCTCCGCGTCCTTACGGCGACTCTACGACGACTATTGCGTTTGTCCAGCGACTGTCCTGCGACTGTACGACGACCCTACTACGTTCTTGCTACGTCTATAAAAACAATACTTTTTACCAGTAAATTTCATTCTGAGTCTGACCTTCAACAAGTGAAGACGTATATTTAATTAGTATTAAGTTAAAACATCCATATTATTCCAAAGAGGAGAGGCGGACGAGGCAAAAGAGCGAGGGTCTCTAAAGTGCTACAAGTTGACCCAGTCGCCGCTTCAGATATGCAGTTTGGTAGTGGTTCACAGTGTGTAGAAATAGCGTCTTGTAATTTCATCGGTGATCTACGGCGTCCTTAGTACGAGTGTACTACGTCTATTGCGTTCTTATTGCGTCCTTACTACGATGCTGCTGCGACTATGGCGATTCCACTGCGATCCCACGGCGACCTAACCAGGACTCAGCAAGAACGCAGAGTTTCTGCGACTGTTTTGTGCATGTTCAAAATAGTCGCCGACGGTCTGCGACCTTGTGCGTCCTTTGGTTCCTCGCTACGACCTCGCTACGTCCCTGCTGCGTCCATGGCGACTGTGCTGCGTCCTGGGTCGTAGCAAGGTCGCAGTAAGGATGCAGTAAGGTCGCGAGGTATGTGTGAGGGCAGTTTAAGAAATAACATATTTTAGGGAAAATTCTAACTTCAAGGGGAGATAATTTTGAAAATATTTCTATTAACTAATGTAAGACCATAATCTCATATGATGTCGTTGATGATTAGGAACATACATTTAAAGTAGAAACCTTAGGACATAAAGAAAATATTGTACAAAATAATTTACTGCACCAGAAGTAGACACAGAGGCTATGGTGAGTAAGACAGTTCTCCATACTTATACTTTAAGTCCAACTAAATTGGGACAGGTATCAAAACCTGAGGCTAGAACTGATTTTGTTACAAAATTTTTTTTTAAAAAAACTGTAATTAAAATTCTTTATAAAAAAAATCTTCTAAAAGGCATTATTGATTAGAGACATATATATTTGTTTTCTTGTCTAAATGTACTTGGATATACATATAATATATATTTCATGGCAATTATACAAAATGCATTTTATGTAAAACAGAAGGTTGGTGAATTTTTTGTTCTTTTATTCTTCCAAAAAGTCTGCAGCACTATCTTAAATCAACTGTTAACAGTTGCTAGGAAATGCCTTAGAATTTTCCCAGTAATATTACCAAGGTAGCAACAATGCAGGTCTAGTTACATCAATATTTTAACTGATCTATTTCAACTGACTGAGATTTTCCTGGAATCAATTTCAAACAGAGATACATCATTTCCTGTAAAATATTAATATAGAACCAGGGAAATGATGTATAAAAAATGTGATCGAACTTATTTTTGAACAGATACAGTATTAATTTGTTTACAGAATTTGGGAGAAAACAGATGTATATACAATGTGCTGGTACTTTACTTGGTTAAAAACAGACATAGCAAAATTGTTGTAACAGAATATACAGTAGAGAAAGAGGAAAATACAAAAAACTGTTCTTTTTTTCATATCAAATAAGCTCATTACACGTACTGGTCAAACAGTACTTTCTCATTATACTTCATAACTATGAGAACATAAACATTTGGGAGTACACTGTGAGACTTCCTGGATAACCTCTTTCCCATTTAGGTGACTTCATTTAAACAAATCTTGTCTCCCTTTGACATTGAAACTGTTTAATGTTAATGTAAATGATTATAATAACACAAAAGTGTCTGGTTAGAATGCATGAACTGCTGACATCATCCAGTTGCTCTTCCAACACCAGTGGCATCATCCAACACCGGTGGCATCATCCAACACCGGTGGCATCATCCAACACTGGTGGCATCATCCAACACCACTGGCATCATCCAACACCGGTGGCATCATCCAACACCAGTTGCATCATCCAACTTCAGTGGCATCATCCAACACCGGTGGCATCATCCAACACTGATGGCATTATCCAACACCGGTGGCATCATCCAACACTGGTGGCATCATCCAACACCGGTGGCATCATCCAACATCGGTGGCATCATCCAACACTGATGGCATCATCCAACACCAGTGATATCATCCAACACCGGTGGCATCATCCAACTTCAGTGGCATCATCCAACACCAGTGGTATCATCCAACACCAGTGGCATTATCCAACACCAGTGGCATTATCCAACACCAGTGGCATCATCCAACTACAGTGGCATCATCCAACAACGATGTCATCATCCAACACCGCTGGCATCATCCAACACCACTGGCATCATCCAACACCACTGGCATCATCCAACACCGCTGGCATCATCCAACACCACTGGCATCAATCCAACTACAGTGGCATCATCCAACACCGATGGCATCATCCAACACTACTGGCATCATCCAACACCGGTGGCATCATCCAACACCAGTTGCATCATCCAACTTCAGTGGCATCATCCAACACCGATGTCATCATCCAACACCGCTGGCATCATCCAACACCACTGCATCATCCAACACCACTGGCATCATCCAACTACAGTGGCATCATCCAACACCGATGGCATCATCCAACACCGCTGGCATCATCCAACACCACTGGCATCATCCAACACCGCTGGCATCATCCAACACCACTAGCATCATCCAACACCGGTGACATCATCCAACACCGGTGGCATCATCCATCTCTGCTGACATCAGTGGCATCATCCAACACCGGTGGCAACAAGTCATTAAACGCTGCTAATGTTCACAGATTAAATAATTTAACCTTCAAAATCTTCCCCCCATACATCGCAGTTAAGCAAACATCCCAGGTAAATAGGAAAATTATATGACTGTCTGTCATAATCACATCATAATTATAGAGATGCCTGCAGAAATATAATTATCTCCCTATGAATATCTCATTCTAAATATTTTAGATATGTTATAGAAGAGAAGGTAGAAAATATATGTAGATAAAAATATTTTCTTTTACCTGAAATCTTTTGGGTTTTTTTTTGTTTGTTTGGTTTTTTGTCTGTTTGGATTTAAATGCATACAGAAAGACTAGAGCTGTAACATTAAAGTTTCTGTGTGTGTGTTTTTTTTTCACTATTTTATCTTCATAATAACTAATATCTCTTAAGTTTTTATTTTGGATAAAAATAAAATACATGTAGATGTATTATCTGTTACAAATACTGTGACTGTATTTCAAAGTTTACATGTAAGAGTGCCACCTGTCTTTCTCTGTATTTCAGACACTATACCTTTTGACTGTAACTACATGTATGCTTGCTGGAATTATATGAGCCGCGTCATGACAATACCAACATAGTGCGTTTGCGACCAGCATGGATCCAGACCAGCCTGCGCATCCACACAGTCTGATCAGGATCCATGCTGTTCGCTTACAAACCCTATAACAAGTAGAGAAACTGATAGTGAACAGCATGGATCCTGACCAGACTGCGCGGATGCGCTGCTGAGGCTGGTCTGGATTCATGCTGGTCGCAAACCCATTATGTTGGTTTTGTCGTGCAATAACCAATTAATAGAATTCAAATCCTCTGTACTGCAGATGCAGCAAAAGATCCAAAGTCAGTTCCCTTTTTAACCACTAAGCATTCCAGCTACATCTTCATTCTGTGTAATCAGTAATAATACTGACAAACAAAATTTTAAAATAATTTGCTTTGAGAGTAAGTAATGTAAGATTTGTTTGTTACAAAACTTGCAAAATAACATCTGTTACAGAGTAAGTAAAATATGCAGAATGTGTATTGGACTCTTGAAATTTAAGACTTTTACCCTAAGGTGTCTAACTCAACTTAAATATATAATGAGCCTATCCCTACAACAGTGAAGTAACTTTCACTTTATAACAATTGAGTTACAATTGTGTTACAGTAAATCAGCTCTACACCAGGAAATGTTTGTTAGCTTGTTGAGGAAACAGCTGATATAAGTGTAATAATCTACAGTATATAATGTTGAAGGGGGGAATTTATGCTACTTCAATCAAATATAACAGTTAACTATCCAGACAAGTATGAAGCTGCATGTGGCCAGGTTTTGTCATTAACAGTTACAAACAATGATTTTCATGGAGTTCCTGGAGATCATTCATAATTGAGCCGCGTCACGACAAAACCAACATAATGGGTTTGCTACCAGCTTGGATCCAGACCAGCCTGCGCATCCGCGCAGTCTGATCAGGATCCATGCTATCCGCTTACAGACCCTATAACAAGTAAAGAAACTGATAGCGAACAGCATTGATCGTAATCAGACTTCACAGATGCACAGACTGGTCTGGATCCATGCTGGTCGCAAACCCATTATGTTGGTTTTGTCGTGATGTGGCTCATATGTAGACCGCACGCATGATGTGGTGGTTGCCCATGATTAGGTCTATATATAGCAGATATTTCTCTCTAGGGAATAAAATGCTCTCAGTGTCTAATGACATCTGCAGAATCTGATAATGATATTTGAAAAATGAAATATTTATCTTTTTCCAATTATGAAATATTACAAAATATACCTATCTTCCATGAAAGAAAATGTAATATATAATAATAACTTTTGGTAATGTTTCAGCGAGGTTTTCTTAAGAGTGAGAGGTTTTCAGCATGATTATTTCCTCTGAGATTGTTTTTTTTCGGAGTGTTTGTACTGCACAAGGTTTCACGTGCGTAGTTGGTTACCAAGTTACAGATTCACTGGACTGTATCCCAGTTTTGTCATAAAGTTGTTAGGCTTGAAAAAAGAAGAAAGCATAGTAAAATAAGTTTCCAGTGTTTAATGTTGTTAACAGAATGGTCAAATGAAAGGATGAATACAAACATGAGAAAAATAATTTGACAACTTCCCCTGGCTCCGGAAAAGCCATGCTCCGTCATGGATTTTGATAAAAGATACATTGAAAAACATAACGATAAAAAGTTCTTTCTATAAAACAAATTGTATGTACAATTGGCATACAAACAATACAGTATATGTGTTCAAATTTAAATTGTATTACATGTACATGTAGTAAATGACATGTTTTTATGATAATTTTACAAATTGGTACTAAGAAGTACGTAAGAAATAAACATGAAATAAAACATTTAATAAGTGCACTGAAAAGTACTTATAAATATAACTTAACATATGTACTGAGTAGTACATGATAATGTTCAGAAATGTACTTCAATAAAAACACATGTACTAAGTAGTAAGAACAAAGAATAATGAAAAACATTCACAAGTACTTAGTAGTACTGAAAAATATCACAAGTACTTAGTTGTACTGAAAATTATCACAAGTACTTAGTAGTACTGAAAAATATATAAGTACTGATTAGTTCTTTAAAATGTCACTGATTGACTTTAGTAATTACAATATTGAATCTGAATAGCGATGGTAGTGGTAGGCACTTTGTTGAAAAGTATGATTGACTTTCGAACCTCTTAAATGAAACGATACCAGTTATGAAAAAAAAAATACAAAAATATTTATACAAAATAAAATAAATATTAATTCTTATAAATATATACGAAAAATAATAAAACACTTAAGATTCTAAGTAGTAAATTGCTTTATTGATGTTCTGTTTTTATATATTATATTAAAGAGTATGGGTACTTTAGAAGTTCCGTTAGTTTAAGGATTATGGGTTTTGTAGAAGTTTTGCTGAAGGGTCTTAACAGGGATAAATGTTCGAAGATGGTGTTATTTGTAATGTTGTGCATGTAAGATGTATTGGCATACAAGTGTGATAATGTTTTACCCATAATGCCATGTGAAATGGTTTATCTGTGATTGATCTCAGTTTGTAAGCTTTTTTTTCTCACTATCCTTATAATTCAATCACCACCATGTTGATCATTTTGCGAGTTTGCCGATGATGAGTTAAATTTTTGAGAAAGATTCAACAGAAGATGTGTTATCATCTGCATATCGCCATTCACTTTTTTTAAAGCATTATTATTAACCTGCAAACTTCTATTAAAAATATTCTTAATTTCATGGTGAATGGTTTGCATATTACTGTTTATGCCGCGAACGTCACTACCAAATGTTTGTACATGTGTTTTTAAAGTATTTATTTTATTTTGGATATTTGACAATTCTTTTTCAGTGTCAAAACTTTTTAAGCAAGGTACATCTAGTTCTGCTAAAATAGGGACGATAGGTGTGACGACTACTGTCCCATATGATGTCCCTCCCTCTACGATCCCTATACATTTATTCTGTGAATTTTCCTCAACAACGAACACAGGCGCACCTGAATCGCCGTTTTTAGCAAAAGGAATGCCATTTGATTGAGCTTTTACTTCGATTTGCTTTAACAGTTTAATTGATACATTTTCATGACCTATACATGCCTCCAGTGTCTTTACTGAGATAGTATCAAATTTTATTATTCCATGACTCAATTCTGTTTTTGATCCAAATTTTATGACATGAGCATCATCCTTCTTATTCAGTCTGTGGGTGCTACACATTCGCCAACTGTCGTATTTAATACTTGTAGCAACATTTGATCCTGTCTCATAGGGAAAACTTGGTGATTTTGGATGTCTGTCTGTTATTCTGAACAAAGCTAATTCCATTCCGCAATTTTCGTCTGAACCTTCTTTGTAGATAACTTGAACAGTGTGTCCTAATACAGATTGCTTGTCAGCGGGCTGATAAACATTTTTACTCATCTCATGTAATGGCCATTTCAAAGTTCCGCCATGAAGTGTTTTCAGTTGAGTCATCTCCCATCGTTTTAAAAGAACATGCGCACATGTTAGTCCACAAATTCCAAATTGAGGATGATCTATGAAAAAACCAAGAGTTCCTGCATAAATATCTCCACCTATTTGACTTCCCATTTGAACAGGATCAAGCAGCTCTTTGGCAGTACGTCCGAATGGAGTAAAGGCACCTTCTCTAACATCAACTGGAATTCCATCATACTTTGTTTCAAATGGTTCTTCATCAATTGGAATGTAATTCTTTTTCTGGACGTAAAGGACAATACATTTTTCAGGCAGCAATTTCCACGAAGCACCAAATCCTTTTGACCTATTTGGGCATGCTGATATAATTGACAAGAATTTGTGTTTTTTCATCAAAACTTCAGAGTGTTTTGAAATGCAGCTTTGAAGTTTTTGATAGGACTTTTCATCCAATCCCACTGAAGCTGATGTCTGGTGCCTTAGTACCTCAGTGCCTTCTGAGCTAAATTCGCCGACGTATTGATTGATGAATGAGTATGTAATCAATTTATCTAAACATAGAGACTTTGTTCTAGTGTCACCTTCTGATTTTATTTTCACAATTACTACAAAAGTTATTCTATGCAGGTTTTGAATTGTATAAGCAGCCCAAACATGTTCAATAGCATCATGTTTTGATTTTATATGTTCACAAATTGCCTGGCATGTGATAATTACCTTTTTGGATTGTCTATTGTAAATCTGACACATCTCATCAAGTATTTTCTGGCTTGGCAGCTTCCCCGATTCAATTAATGTTCTAATGTCTTCCAGACTTCTTGCACAAAGAAAGGGATCTAATACTACATCGTCATCACAAGTGAGGTCTATGACGTCATCACAAGTGAGGTCTATGTAGGCTGGATCTTCATCTTTGAAACCTGACTTCAGAAACTCACTCTTCAAGTTTCTTTTATGACTGGGTTTTTCTAAGTAAGTCCTCTTGTGTTTGCATTTGTGTTTTAAAAGTATGTTTATGTCACTCTCCAAGCTTCTTTTACCACTAGGTTTTTCTATATCAGGTTGATGTATTTTGGCTACATCTTCATTTTTGTAACTACACTGTTCACGCTGAGGTTTGTATATCTTGGCTGCATCTTCATCTATTTTACTGGGCACCGGATGCACTCCTATTAACGGCAGTACACCACTCAGCCTGCTTGGGCTGGGTTCATGTCTGCCACTGGTCTTGCTTGGGCTGGATTCATGTATGCCACTGGTCTTGCTTGGGCTGGGTTTATGTATGCCACTGGTCTTGCTTGGGCTGGGTTTATGTATGCCACTGGTCTTGCTTGGGCTGGGTTTATGTATGCCACTTGTCTTGCTTGGGCTGGGTTTATGTATGCCGATCAATGGTTTGGATACTGTTGGCATTTGAGCTGTTAGTTTGCTTCCAATGTTTTTAACATCTTCATTCGCCTTTGCAGCCATATCTCCTATTTACCTCTTGAAAAAAGAAGAAAGAATTGTAAAATAAGTTTCCAGTGTTGTTAACAGAATTTTATTATGAAAGGATGAATACAAACATGAGAAAAATAATGAATAATCATGATATATGTGAACAATAATGAAAAGAACTGAAAGAACATTACACTTTATGAATTTAAACAAATTAATACAAGTGACAAAATATTAGAAAGAAGTAGTAATTTACAAAATATAACATTTGTATTAAACAAAACAATAATTAAATATTCTAACACGACCCGCATTTTTCCTTATTGAACATAGAAGAACCGAAAGTGTGTGTTATTATGCTATAAAATCACTGTTTGACGTTCTATATTTAGACATGTGACGTAATCATTATACACGTGACGTGACCACTAAAATCTGACGCGCTGACAATAAGTACGGAGACAAATCAGGCACGATTAAGCTAATTATAATGTACGGCAGCATTAATTTGTTGATGTCGTGTTAGAATCTAAATACTATATCCAAATCGGTGATTTTATTGCTTGATAACATAATGTTTGTCGTTCGGTTGGGCATCATTATATCACTCGGGCTACGTCCTCGTGATATAATTCCCCGCATCCGAACTCCAAACAGTGATGTTATTGAGCAATAAAATCACAGTTTGGGATATATTATTTCTTAAATATAAAGAATATTATGAAAATACTTGAAAGTATATGGGGAAAATCGCTTAGTGAGATGTTGTCAACAAATTATTGATAAAAACAACTTTTTAAAGAATTATTTAAGAATTATTAAAAATCATTGTTCAAAGTTACAGAAAAAATTGACAATAATAAATAGAGAATAACATGCTACTGTCTTTTGATATCAATTTTATTAGGCGAGGCTGATATGGGCTAGAAAGGGCGAGGCTTGCCGAGCCCTTTCTGCCCATATCAGCCGAGCCTGATAAAATTGATATCAAAAGACAGTAGCATGTTTTTCTATTTATCATGTAACACATAATAACTGTCAAAATAACAAAATAATCTACTTTTAAATAGCGAATTTCGTTAAAAAGGGGAATTTTTGTTCAAAGAAATAATTCTTGAAAACAAATTCCTCCGCCCCTGACACTTAGAATTTGTAATTGGCGGCCATTTTTTCTTTCGACTCGGATAAAAGATACAACAGAATGTAGGCCTAATACGATAACATTCTTACCTTTAATTTAAACATCGATCCAAAAATCCGCTTAGAATCACATAAACTAAACTTTACTGCATTTTTTGTCTTGAATTGTCAAATTCAAAAGTTCACGATAATTTCAATCAAAGAAAAGTCAAATCGGCAATCAAACACAAGCTACACAAACATGCGTCTTATTTTTAAACGAAACAATTTGTTCACTTATTAAATAATAATCCGGCGAAATAAAGTAAACATTTACAAGTTCTCAAAGAAAATCGTCAGCCTGTTTGTTATGATTACATGTATATTATGACGTGAACATCGATGATGTCATTTGCAATATAAATTATGACGTCATTTAGTTGGTGCTAAAACTAATCGCTATCTAATTTATTCGTAATTGAAATCGAAATAATAAATAAATAAATAAATTTCGCATATTGATTGCAGACTTGTAAGGTTATGAGATTACATTGTAGAATTCACATGCTGATGAAAATGCTCGAATATAAGCAATTGAAAAAAGTCCGTTAAAATGGGCGGGGCTAATTTTTGATATCAGGCTACTGACGTGATATCAAAAATAATTATCAGGCAAGTGTTATCGTGCAGTTACCATAGCAGTTGCATGATAAATATACGAAATGCTTACCTTGAAAAATGAAGAAAGAACAGCAAAATAAATTTCCAGCGTTTTTGTTGTTAACAGAATGGTACTGTGTAACAACACACTGGCCTTTTATGTAAATTTGTAGTCAAGCATTTCACCTTAACAACAAACAGAAATGAAGACATGGTGATAAATAGAATTATAAATGTAATATTACTGTCTTATAGAGAATTAAGATTTATTTGTCCATAAAACTACAATTACAAAATAATATGTTGAAAACTATTGATAACAGTTTTCCTGTAACAACAGGTACACTAACATGATTAATGGACAGATTAGTAAAATAGATAATCTCTTTGTTTGGTAAAATATCTTCAATGTGACAAAATTAATGTCAATACTTCAAGATATTTTTTGAAAATGTAGAAAAAATGATTGACAGGTGGTCTAGCTTAAACATAATTATTCTGAACTAAAGAATTGTTTTCTTTTTTTTTTGGTTTGTTTTACTTGTTGCTCAAACACACTTTAAAGGTCACATGGCATATTTTCCAGTTTTACTGGTAGAGGAGGACATCGGGTGCATTATTTGATTTAGGCACAAACAAGCACCTGAAATTTTCTGATGAAAGTAAAGGCATTTTCTACTAAAGAAATCCATATTCATTTCAACACTTTGAACTGATTGAGATACTTGTGTGATAAACTTCAAGCTGAGTGAAAGACTTCTTGTGTGTGTTGCCTTTATATGTTTGTTGACTGCATAAATTTGTATTCCTACTTGCACTAGTGGGAATACAATTTACACTGGTACAACCAATCAACATGTAATATAACCCATCAGGATAGCATATTTGTGTAATATTCCCTATAGATTGGGGAAAAACAAACATAAATACAGGTACTGACCTTAATTTGCAGGTTTTGTCAGGCACCAATTTCATTTACTATTAAGGTCAAGTTTACAGGTTTTAATGTATCATATCCTCTACAAATTCCCACCTATAAGCATAATAAACTAATACTTCCAGACAAGAGCTGTCGGTAGGACAGCAACGCTCAAATATTCTAGAGCTTGATAGTAAAAAATAATACTTGATACAGCTACCTACTCCTGTTTACATGTTTACATATGTCAATGGACTTTGAAAATATTTGAACTATTACAAAAACTTTAACGTAAATTTTAAGTCGAAAAAGGGGCATAATTCTGTCAAAATGCTCGATAGAGTTACCTCCTCCTGTCTACAGGTTGGTGTCATGATGGTGAACAAGTGTTCAAAGTTATAAAGCCATATGTCAATGGACTTTGAAAATATTTGAACTATTACAAAAACTTTAACATAAGTCACAGGTTACGCCGACGCCAACGCTCGGGTGACTACAATAGCTCTACTTATTCTTATCGAATAGTCGAGCTAATAAGTAAAGAGATACAACAAATATAAGTGTCAACTACTTTCCACATTTGAAATATGCATGTAATCATATTGACTTACATATTTATCTTCTGGTCCAGCATCGTAAGTAACTTCCCCAAACTTTGGCGGTAAACTGCCTGATTGTACGCGTTCAAAACGCAGTTGTACAGGACCCTGAAATTATAAAGTATTGTTCAAGTATAATGTCAGTTATATATGCATAACATTTCAAAATAATCCTTTACCAAAAACTAAAAGCTTTCTGCTTACTACTTACAAGTAAGGGTAACACATTATGCCAGTTCCTTTTTGTTCTGCTGATATACAACAGAAAGTTGTCAAATAGAACATCAAATGGCTGCTGAGAAACTGATATTAAGGTTTTCAAAAGGAGCATTACTTAATGCCTCAGAGCAATAATAAAACCCCTTAATTGTCTGGGAATTGCATACCACCCACATACCTTACAAACACTTTGGTGCTATATACAACTCACAAAGCCCCCTCATACCTGGTTCTTGAATACCACTCACATATCCCTCTTAAACCTGAGCCTTGTATACCACTAACATAGCCCTCTTGAACATGGACATTTTATACCACTCACATAGCCCTCTTATACATGGGTCTTGTACACCATTCACATAGCCCTCTCATACATGGGCCTTGTAAACCACTCACAACGCCCTCTCATACATGCACCTTGTATACCACTCACATAGCCCTCTCAAACATTGGCCTCGTATACCACTTACATAGCCCTCTAATACATGGGCCTTGTATACCACTCACAAAGCCCTCTTAAACATGGGCCTTGAATACCACTCACAAAGCCCTCTCATACATGGGCCTTGTATACCACTCAGATAGCCCTCTCATACATGGGCCTTGTATACCATTCACAAGGCCCTCTCATACATGGGCCTTGTAAACCACTCACATAGCCCTCTTATACATGGGCCTTGTATACCACTCACAAAGCCCTCTCATACATGCACCTTGTATACCACTCACATAGCCCTCTCATACATGGGCCTCGTATACCACTCACATGGCCCTCTAATACATGGGCCTTGTAAACCACTCACATAGCCCTCTCATACATGCGCCTCATATACCACTAACAAAGCCCTCTCATACATGGGCCTTGTATACCACTCACATAGCCCTCTCATACATGGGCTTCGTATACCACTCACATGGCCCTCTAATACATGGGCCTTGTAAACCACTCACATAGCCCTCTCATACATGCGCCTCATATACCACTCACAAAGCCCTCTCATACATGGGCCTTGTATACCACTCACATAGCCCTCTCATACATGGGCTTCGTATACCACTCACATGGCCCTCTAATATTGGGCTATGTAAACCACTCACATAGCCCTCTCATACATGCGCCTCATATACCACTCACATAGCCCTCTAATACATGCGCTTTGATACCACTCACAAAGCCCTCATATACATGGGCCTTGAATACCACTCACAAAGCCCTCTCATACATGGGCCTTGTATACCACTCAGATAGCCCTCTCATACATGGGCCTTGTATACCATTCACAAGGCCCTCTCATACATGGGCCTTGTAAACCACTCACATAGCCCTCTTATACATGGGCCTTGTATACCACTCACAAAAGCCCTCTCATACATGCACCTTGTATACCACTCACATAGCCCTCTCATAAATGGGCCTCGTATACCACTCACATGTCCCTCTAATACATGGGCTTTGTAAACCATTCACATAGCCGTCTCATACATGCGCCTCATATACCACTCACAAAGCCCTCTCATACATGGGCCTTGTATACCACTCACAAAGCCTTCTCATACATTGGCCTTTTATACCACTCACATAGCCCTCTTGTACATGCATCTTGTATATCACTAACATAGCCCTCTCATACATGGGCCTCGTATACCACTCACATGGCCCTCTAATACATGGGCCTTGTAAACCACTCACATAGCCCTCTCATACATGCGCCTCATATACCACTCACAAAAGCCCTCTCATACATGGGCCTTGTATACCACTCACAAAGCCCTCTCATACATGGGCCTTGTATACCACTCACATAGCCCTGTCATACATGGGCCTTGTATACCACTCACATAGCCCTCTTATACATGGACCTTGTATACCATTCACATAGCCCTCTCATACATGTGCCTCATATACCACTCACAATGCCCTATCATACTTGGGCCTTGTATACCACTCACAAAGCCTTCTCATACATGGGCCTTTTATACCACTCACATAGCCCTCTTGTACATGAACCTTTAATACCACTAACATAGCCCTCTTATACATGGGCCTTGTATACCACTCACACAGCCCTTCTTTACATGGGCCTTGTATACCACTCACATAGCCCTTTCATACATGGGCCTTATAAACCACTCACAATGCCCTCTCATACATGGGCCCCATATACCACTCACACAGCCCTTCTTTACATGGGCCTTGTATACCACTCACATAGCCCTTTTAAACATGGGCCTTGTATACCACTCACATAGCCCCCTTGTACATGGAACTTTAATTCCACTCACATAGCACTCTTGTACATGGGCCTTGTATACCATTGTACATTACAAGTCTTTCATACAAAGTCAGTAGGATGAGGAATAATAAACAATATCATTTCATGCTATTTAGATATTTTCAATTTGCAATAAAACTCATAAATGGCTAAAAATCTCAGATGTTCATTAGCAGCAAAGATTTGATTATTAACATATCCCCAGATTGTACATTTCTGCCAAAGAAACATGCTCCTTTACACAAGAAAACATACTGTTGCCACTACCTGAACTACTGTAAAGTGGATGTAAAAAGAGATTAAAATGTTACTGAATGTTAGAAGAAAGGAATGTATTGTATACAAAAATAGTAGCTATGCTAAACTTTTGAGTGCTAGTTTAAAAAATAAACCTGTAATTGGCACAAAGGATATTTTTTAAGTAGACAAAAAGTATAATTAAGTAACTAATTGGACAGTGAGTGACCTGCAAATTATAATAATGTGTGAAGTTTAAATTAAATCTTTAATCAATGGTCTTGGGGAAAGATCTTGTGCACAATTGTTTTTCTATCTACAATAAGGGATGTAATTTCACTCCAAATCCGTACCAAAGTTATTGGAGAGGTTTATTAAGTGATAGATGTACACAAAACCTTGACCAACTTTGTATGCAATCATTGATAATATTATAATTAGGAGAGCTCCCTGCTCAGCAATTATTTCTTCACTGTAAAAGTATTCAAAGAATTTTGTTTCAATTGACATATCATGTCTAAGTGGATCTTTCCTTTTAATAAACCACATATTTATCTTAAAGCAATTTTGTCTGAATTGAATATATACTTTGTACAAGTAAGATGAAATGCTAGGTAGTAGGATCATTTTCATCAAAGTGAAAGTTAGAATTTGTGACTTTTTTGTGTGTTACATTAATACATAAAGTTTAAAAAACTCAACAAACATGCAAATGTGACTAAATACATATATTAAATAGTAGACTTTCAGCTAAACTAGTGGAGGAAGACCTAAGGTGCCCTGCACAAGAAGGCACCCAAGTAGAAAAAAGTGACTTCCGCAGATGAGCTGGATACCCTAAGAACCCTAACATTAAAGTGTCCAAAGATACTAACAAGATTCGAACAAATTAGTGTTTTATTTGAATTAGGGGCAACTTACTTAAAGTCACCTTCACCACTCAACCATGCAGATTTACGTTGTATTTACAGTATCTGGAGAAGAGTCATGTCAAAACTTTATGGCAAGCTTAAGCTTAAATATATGTATATAATGTAAAAAGTTCTATGCTTTTACTGCTTTTGAGAATTTCTTTTGAACTTAACTTACTACTAGTATAAAATTGCTATTAGACAAATGAAATCTCATTAATGAGATAGATCAAGTTCTGCTAGGAAAACATGAAAGAGAAATAGGAAGCATTAAATTAAAGACTGTACTTGGTAACATTATTCTAGGTATATGTCATTACACATGAAAAAGTTGGCAACAATCTTCGTTAAACAGGTAAATAGCAAAGGTAAGTGAAGGTGTTTTAATCGGGGAAGTGCCAAAAATACTCTCTCTCAGTGATAAGAATAGATTTAACTACACATAACTTGAGGTAATTACATGTACTATTATCAACTATGCCATCACAAATATACACACACATACACATATATATTTATTATCATAGTTGAGGTTATTTTCTCCTTGTCTGTGAGTTCATAGACTTATAATGGTAGATTGTATGATTTTAGTTGAAACAATTTTATTTTTGTTTCATTGTGTTGGAAGCCTGGAAGGCAATGAGTGAAAATCTTCTTGCACAAGGAAACAACAGCTTGCCCCTGATGAGGTTTGAACCCTTGCAACCATCAACCTAAGATCACTAGTCTGACGCATTAACCACTTAGCCACTCTGACTGTACATAAAATCTTATGCCTTATCATAATTCCAGTGGTGATCACAAGCAATGAAATCCAGCACATGCCATCATGCACATGTACTCTCGCCAAAATACATACTAAAACCATTAGGTTATATTGTTAATTGATTTAAACAAACCTGAAATTACCGATAAAGATAGAAACTTAATAATCAGGAACATAAATTTGAGACCATGCATAATGTACTACTGACCAGTTGAAACTCTCCCTTTACTTCTTATAGTCAAGCTTAAGATTTATTCAAACTCTAGATATATACTTTAATAATGTTTTAATCAAACAAGCACTTAATAAAAATCTGACAGCCGCCTGCTTCAATTTGATATTTTCTTAGTGTAAACATTAAAAACTTACTCAGAAGAGGTCATTTCACACAAACTCTAACTGGTCACTCATTTTTTTTTTAATGTGATTGTATCAAGCTAAGACTGACAGCTAGTAATTAATTCAATCATTTTGCTTTCTAATAAAAGATTTCTGATCAATAGAATGATCTGACAATCAGACATTAGAGCCTATTTAGACACATGATAACCATAACTATCTATATCACCTGTCAAACATGTGAATGAAGAGTCATTTTCACTGTCAATCACTGTGAGTGAGTTACCCTTTGAGAAGACAGTCTAATTGGATATAAACAGAACAAAGAATCAACCATATATATCTTAATTAAAATAACCTAGT